CCACTGCCCTGATGTCCTCTGCCACCTACTCTTCTTCCTCTTGTAAGAGTCTCGGGCTTATAGAGAGATATACTTCCCTCTAATTGTACCTGGCTAGGGCTGAGTTATTTATCAAAGGTCCTATCAGACCAGAAAAATCAGTGCTCTTCTTGCCTTTGCTTGCCTCTTCTTCTTTCTTCCCCTCACTTCTAAAGATAGGTGATTTACTATGTCTTTCTCCTCCTTTATTCTGCCATACTACTCTTCCAATATGCTCTGTGTGTTATCTTTCTCTAATTCAAGTTGACACTTACTACCAAGATCCTCTCCAAACTTATAAATCCCAAGTCAAATTTATGTTTCTAGAGAGCTTGCATTCTTTTTTTTTTTCTTTTTTTCTTTTTTTTTCCAAATATTGTTATTTAAATGTTTTTGTAGGCTTTTTGGAACCAATTCATCATTGCCAAAAAGTTTTGCAGACCTAAACAAAAACCAAAAATATGAAGCAGACCAGCAAAATTATTTCAAAATAGTTTTGGAGGGCACTTAGGAAGGGGAGAGAAGTCTGCAGGTTTGAACCAAGTTTTTATACATTAATGATTGTAGTTCATTCAGCAGTGAAATTTTTTAATAATCATGTTTTTGCTATAGCTATTTAATTTTTTCAGAGTATCCACTATTATGCAAGATAGGATTGCTTAAGCTGTAGTAGTGGGACAGTTTATTTCATCCATTTTCTCAAGGCTGTTGCTGCCTGCACACTCTGAGAATTTGCAGTGCCTCTGTTCCAAACACACCTATACCTTGGCAACAATTTAAAAAAAGACATGAATATAAAGGAAAAGGAGGATGCGCACACACACAGAAAAAAATTGTTTAGTGTGAGGATTATCTGGGGCTTGTCTAAGAGCGACAGCAGGATTGGTTCTGTGGTCCAGCTGATCAGGCAGACACCAGGTACTGCAAGAAGCATTTTTTTCCTGCTTCCATAGAGGGGATTGATTAATCTTAAGGCATACAATTAGCTGTCAGGACTATTAATTGCCCAGATTCCTCAAGCTAAAGGGAGAAAAGCCAACTGAGCAAAAAGCATCTGTCAAAGGATGGTGTGTTTTTATTTTCAGCAGGTGATATGCCCACAGGAGACACCAACAAGGTAAGCAGAAAATTCTGAATGGAGAAAAATAGAGAAAACTATGATGACTGGTGGCAAAAGCAAGGGAACACAGGTAACTGGTGCTGCTTGGTCAGCCAGTCACCGTCCTGAAGGAAAACTGGACAGTGTTGCTGCACAGTGGAAAACTGCGACAGTGGTCACAGCCCCTTGCTGCTCTCCCATGTTGTTCTGAAAGCGGTGAAGTGGTGCAGAGTGCCAGCCTTTTCCAAAGGAGGGCTGGCAGACCTCCCTACCCTTGTTGGGGGTGGCCCCTCCCCTCCACGCTTCATGTCTGTGCACCACACGAGGTCTCTCCATGGAGCAAATCCCTCCTCAGCGTTTTTGCAGCCTGCACAAAACCATTACCTGGACTGCTCATGTGGAGCAGTGGATGAGGCCTCAAGGCATGGGGGAAGGGGTGCCTGTGTGCTCCCACTGCTTCCTGTGCTTCCTTTTCCTCCCAGGAGAAGCAGAGGGGAGCAGATGTCTCCATAGGTGATCCCAACATGTCTGATGGTGCTGCAGCTCCCAAATGCCAGACTGCTGATCCAGAGATTTTGGTGTCTGAGGCACCTCCAGGTGCACCTGTAAAGGCATGGTCCTGTATTTTATTACAGAGATGGTACACCTACCAGCTGTTGTGCCATAGACACTGGCACCCTGAGGTCTCAAACAACCTTGATGTTGTTTCTCAGAGCCACACAACAAGGCTGCTAGATGGTTTTTTTCACATTGTCCAGGCATTAGCTTCCACTGTCACTGGCTCTGGACCCAACAAGACAGCTACCTTGGACTAGAATGCTGCATCTCTGTGCCCCTGCCTTTCCACACAGCTCCCATTCTCCCTTCATCTCCCCCATCCTGCAAGCAGAACCACACACCTTGTGAGGACAGGGTCTATATATAATTAGATGACAGCCACAGCGGCACCCAGTCTCACAAACCACAGAGTGCCTTCATGAAGAATTTTCCAAAGGAAAACCAGCCATCACTAAAACAGCTGCTTCTCCCCAGTGTTTTCAAACAGCTCTCCCTCCCTCTGGGGCTGTAATGGGGCTGCAGCTCCATCCAGGATCAGACCCAGGCACTTTACTGTTCCTAGTCATGTTTCCTCACTTTACCACTGCCACAAAGCCACAGTGGAAAGGATAATCTGCACACACCAAGTAGGAAGAGGAGGAGTTAGAGCTCGTTTACCATCTTGGAGGCAAAATGCCTTGCCAGACAGGGATTGTAAATCACAGATCCCATTAGCAGGCTTAGGGGAGAGAGATGAAGAGGGCTTACTTGCCCACACTGCAGTCCTGGATATCAAAAGGACCTTTTCAGACAAGGAATGCTGACGACCAAGTTCCAGAATGCTGGTACTTGCCAAGCCCAGATGCCCCAGCATGCTGAAATCCCTATGGCAACTCTGTTCAGAAAGAAAAAGTGATGGAACTGCCATAAATTGTTTGGGGAAAAAAACAACAAACAGCAATACTGCATTTGAATGTTAAACATCACCACAGAGAAACACAAAATACCCCTGGTTTGGCCAGGTTGACAAATGTTGAAGAGTTGGTGAAACACGTGCTGACCCTGCCTCTAGTGGGCCTCTATTGGGCTTTCAGACAAGACCACTCCAGAGAGAAATGCCCTAAAACATTGTGCTCCTTCTCCAGTAGGCTACATCGTTGTATTTTTGTTGTTAATATAGTCTCTGATTCTGTAGGAACAGTTTTCTTAAATGTCAAGGGCCACTCTCTTAAGGCTCAACTATACTTATGCTACATGAACATATTTTAAAGCAGATGCAAATGTCCCTATAAATATTAATAGTATAAGAACAGGGGCCTCTAAAAATTACTACATAATAGTAATTTTGAAGACTACGTGGCATCAAATATGGGATTTGTGAAAATTGTTTTGCAGTAGTAAATATTTTGGAGCCTGAGCTAAACTCATACTTTAGCACTTACAGTTTTGCAATTACTGACATGGAAATATATTCTTCCATGAGATCTAGTTCTAAAAAGTACATTTAATGTGAGTGAACACACAGAATATCCTGGAAATACAGATGTAATTCATGAGATCACTAGTAACATTTATCACAGTTCATTAGCTATCTAGGCCTGAACAGTGTTGGCTCAATAAGCCAAGCAGTCTGGATATGCAACAACATGGGGAGGAAAAATATCCCTCATGTAGGAGTTGAGCAGATTTGCATTGTCTCGAGCACAGTGACTGTAACTTACCTCTGCACTCCAATTTGATTCCTTTGCACCAGACCCCATGTCCCAAACTGAAGTTGAATGGGACAAGTCATTTATCTCTCCCTGTAATTCTTGGGGGGAGACACAAGGCTTCCTGGGCGAAGTAAAACGAGACAATTCCTCTGGTTGCATGTGTTGCTTAAACTGGTCACAGGCTGATGCTTTGGGGTTTTCAGTAAGGCTATCCGGAATTTCAGTCTTCTAGAAATATTTCAGGGTTTGCTGAAAAAAAACCTGTCCCACTTCTAAAGAAAAACTGAAGAAACTAGAGACCTTTCTCAGCTAATCTGGGGAAAAGAAAAAAAGGCAACTGTTGGAATAACACACATAATTTAGATCTGGCTAAGAGTCTTTTGGTTTAACAAAAACAAAATCCTCTGATGAGGGTGGAATTATCTAGAGCAAATCATTCTAGTGGACAATTCCCCACTCCTATCCCTGTTAGATCCTGTATCTTTCTTCCCGTAATCGAAATATAAGCCAAAAATTATTGCACAACCAAAGAGAGTGAAAAAAAGAAACTCTTGAGCCGTGGCATTGAGTAAATGTCACCTGAGTCAACAAAGAGTCCAACAGATGGAGGTTTTAACATTGTTTTTTCAAATTCATCATTATTTTATTTTTAAAAATAATGACCATAAATCTTCCTAGGACAGATTGTTTTTCTGCCTGTCATGATTCATTAAACCAGTACAGAATGAGATCATTATGATTTAAGTTTGCATTTTTGAGACTGCCAAATATCCTCCAAGTACTTCCTGCAGCTGGGAGTGCAAGCATTGTCCTTGGAGCTGGCAGCCTGCTTGCACCATATCCTGGTCCAAGGGCTCCTTGTGCCTCTGGCTAGCAGCACTGCCATGCCCACGGGCCCCTGCTTTAGTGGGTCGCTTTACCTGCTCTTCAGGCAGCAGCAAAATTGGAAGCTGACTTCAAGCTGCAAGGCTTGAGAGTCTGTGGAAGTAAGCACCAGCAGAAATGCACAGCCATCTCCTTGAGGAGCTAGGGCTGGAAAACTCTTCTCCAGAGGTGGACTCTCACCCACCTCAGCTGGCAGCTGAGCTGCCTGATTACTGGAACAGGGTGTGTTTGGGTAAATCAGGACTTCCCTCACCCTCTTGCAAATTCCCACATTGTGGAGCCAAAGGATGCAGCAAGCAGAGTGGCAGCCACTGGAGACAGGTTACCAAAAACAGACATTTGCCTTTTTAATTTCTTTTTGGTGTAATTTCTTGACTTCATTATTGAAACAACAATGACATAAGGGGCATGATGTAGCAACAGGGAAGACAGAAGTGAGTAAAAGCAAAAAAGACAATGACATATTCATGTAGAAAAAAAAAAAAAATGAGCTGGCAGTAAAGGGGAATTCACAAATTACCTGATAGAAAGGCACATAGCTATTCCCTGTCCCCACAACCACTCTGAGAGTTCTCTGACACATGAAGGATACCAAAAGGAGAAAAAAAACACCCAAAAAGTCAACAAACAAAAAACAAACCACCACCCCAAATTACAGTAATTACTTCATCAGAGCATTTTCACTTCCTACTCTGTGAGAGAGAAATTCCCCAGGTCATCTGACCTCTGTTGAAACTACACCAGGAAGAGGAGCAGCGGCAGTCGACAAGTGCAGGGCGTTCTCCGGCTGTACAAAAGCCTCCCATGTGTGGGCCAGAGCTCAGAGCAGCGCAGGGATGTGCAGGTGTGCATTCACATAGCAAGGTGAGCTGCGAATATCTTGCCAGCGAGATCATTTCTTGCACAACTCTCTGGTCCTGTGCAGCCTGGCAGACCTTTTGCTTTTCCTTTCACTGCTTGTTTCCAAACATGCCTCCAGAGCAGAGCATCTGAGGAGCTGTTTCCCCACGTACTGTTTCCTCACGTGCTTCTGAAAGCAGCTCTCTCCAAGAAGAGGTGGTGACTGGCAGCGTGGTGGGAATAATGGCAATGAGGACATGGATTGAGCCAGTGGTTGCGGGTTCCCAAGTGGCCAGTGCCTTCTACGACACAGCACTGTTGCTGGTAGTGAAGAACTACTACAACCAGACCAACAGCACTGCTCCCTCCCACGTCCTGGAAGATGCTCAGCAGAAGGCTGTATCTAACTTTTATATCATCTACAACCTAGTTCTGGGCCTGAGCCCACTGGTGTCAGCCTATGGCTTGTCCAAGCTGGGGGATAGGATACATAGGAAGATCCCCATCTGCTTCCCTCTTCTTGGTTATTTGGGCTCCAAGACTCTCCTGCTCCTCCTGATCCTGCTGGGCTGGCCAGTGGAGGTGATGTATGGGGCTGCTGCCTTCAATGGCCTGACAGGAGGCTTCACCACACTTTGGGCAGGCATCATGGCTCTGGGATCCTTGGGGTCCTCTGAAAGCAAGAGGTCTCTGCGGCTCATCATTATTGAACTGGTGTACGGCCTGGCTGGCTTTTTGGGAAGCATGGCATCTGGCTACCTCTTTGTTGGCTTCAATGACCGCTATCGAGAAGGGACCGTGCTGGTGTGCTGCAGCATTGCTTGCTATGCCTTCTGTCTCCTCTACACCATTTTTGTCCTCACAGTCCCCAAGCCAGCAGCTTCCTGCCCAGCCAAAGCCAAGAGTGCAGGGCAGGTGGGTGGTCAGCCAGCAGAAGCAGCAATAGCAGGCAGTTCCCAACCTTCAGAGGGCAGCATCTCCACTCCAGTATCACCCTCGAAACTCATCATCATCCTGCTGTTTGTGGCAGCAATCCTCTATGACCTTGCTGTGGTTGGTGCCATGAATGTACTCCCACTGTTCTTGCTCAGGGAACCATTAAGTTGGAATGCCGTGGAGATCGGCCACGGCAATGCTGCTGGGTATGTGATCTTCATTACCAGTTTCCTAGGGGTACTCGTGTTCTCCAGATACCTGAGGGATATTACCATGATCATGATTGGAGTAGCATCGTTCAGCGCTGGCATTCTCATCATGGCCTTTGTGCGGTGGACATTCCTGTTCTACATTGGTGAGTTGAACAACCACTAACATGAGCAAATACACGCTGAGAAAGGGGTGTTTCAACATCACTGGAAGAGCTTTTTGCTTTGCTTCATAACAAGTCAGCAAGCAGGGAGTTAGGCAGATCATCACATGGGCAATTTGGAAGAAAGCATTCTTATTATTCCTTTCCCCACATCTCCCTTAGTACTCTTAAGACTCAACACTCTACAATATCCTGAGGAGTCATACGCTCCTGCCAAGGGTTAGTTTAAGGCCCAGTGACTTGTAATTCATCAGTTGCTCATGGACCATATCTTAGCAGAACAATGTTCACACTCTGGGGGACTGGGAATTGTTGCTGACTCCCTGTACTAGTAGGACCACATCACTGCAGCCATAGGAAGCACTTGCTCCTTCTGAGGTAAGGCTCAAGGCTACAAGAGAAGCAAAATGGCAAAGGCTTCCTATTATGTAACATCTTAAAATGTGATTTATTTTTGTCATATGAAAGCACTTACAGCTGATGGGAAACTTAATGAAACATGGGAGCTGTAAATATCACAATAATATAGTTTATAAATCCCACACTATATAAATTACTAAGGCACAGGTAACAATAGGTGGGGCAGCATCCCATGATAAAGGAAAGGCAAGTTTACTTTTGGGAGGTAATCTATGACAAAAAGCAAAATCCAAGAACTGCATTCATTGTGGCAGAGGTATCTCACAGAGTATTGTCTATTGCATGGCTTTAAGGTTTTGCTTCTTAAAGATGAGAAAGACCCTGGAGATAAATGTCTTGAAGTGATTATTTTGTCTGTCCCTAAAGGGAATGGGAAATTGAAAAATTAAGCAAAGTTGTTCTAAAGGGAAATATGATAAGATATTGTATTTGTGTACTAAGCCAAACACAATGAAAATTTTAAGAGCTTTTGTTTGTTTAGCCAATCAAGCTGGGGAATAAAAAATTTAAAAAAACAACAAAAAAACCCCAAACATTGCTTAATAAGTCAGCTCATCTTCATCCTGAAGACATGCTGCTACAGTGTGTAGGATGCTTATTCCCTGCACTGCAGAGACACCTTGGTACACTAGATATGGACCAAATCTTCACTGAAGCTGGTTCGGCTGACAGGAAGGTAATCCCAGCTCCCTATAAATTTTCACAGTAGAGACAGGCTAGAATACCAAGATACAAGACAGATGTAGTGTTATAAAGGTACTGTTCCAGTCAAGGCTGTGTAGCACAAGTGGCTCTCTCTGCAGGTTCAGACTTAAATGTTCATCCTCAGTCTCTCAAAGGAGAGTGAGGATCTCATCTACACTGGGACGTCTGGCTGAGAACAAGAGACTGTGTCTAGCTTGGGCAAAACACCTCTGCTAATGGGAGCAATAGGTGGCTAATCTGCCTTGGATGAAGTAAGGAACCACATCTTTTTAGCACTCAAGGAATGAGAAAATGTGAAGCAAGGTGCCTGGACAAGCCAGAGGCATGTAATCTTCAAAAGCAGTGGCTGTGTTGGGTCACAAAGAGCAGGTACTGGTGATAACTCAAAATTCATTGCATTACAGCACGGGCAGTGATGCTCTTTGCCCTCATCCCCTTACCAACCATCAGGTCCATGTTGTCCAAGCATGTTGAGGGATCATCCTACGGTGAGTATTTTGGTTACCTTACCAACCAAAACCCGCTGAAATTCCTTTATTCAGCCTAGAGTACCAAGAGAAAGGTAAATCATTGCTGCAATCTGTGTTTTGTGTAATTATACCAGAACACATGATACCGCAAACAGGAAGGGAGAAGCAGAGAAACTTGTTGGACAAGATTCTCACATCCAATCTTCTTGTCCTTGGTTGCATCATTATTTATCCACTGAATTTTCAGCACATACTTCAAAAGATTACAATCAGTATATAGTTCAAAGGTGGGGAAAACAGCTGAGGTGCTGCTCAAAAACACAGTACTGCAGGACATCGAGTTGAAGCACTGTGATATTCACACCATTTATATCTGGCTTCTTTTACTTCCAGTTTTGGAAGGACGGATTATTTTCATCTTTTTTTCAGTTATGCTCTCTAAACATTTCTTCAGGTGATTGGCTGTTTGTTCCTGTCAGGCATGATTTAACTACAAAGAGTAAGTTTTGCATAAAAAAAGATCCTTCTTGGAACAGCAGCTGGATATTTTTTTATCATTAAAATATGTGTTATTTTTTTTATTTTTCACTAAAATATGTATTAAAAATTAGTAAAATGCATTTTACAGCAACATATTCAGACCTACCATTTTTGGTCCAATGAGCTAGATATAGACACAAGATACAGGACTGGCCATTCATTCAAACAGTACCACAAGCCCACAACTCCTCAGACCTCCTCCAAGCATGTTTCCTCTGCATCCTTCACATCCTTTTCCTTTCTACCCTATGAACATGACACTGCTCTGCCACCAGCTCATTCCTACTGCTTGTGCTCCCTCAACATCCACCACAGCAAAATCATCTACACCTGCCACAAACAGCACAGCTCATACTCCAAATTAATCACCATAAATCAAATGTTTTAACCTCCACCTTGAGCCATATGGGCTGTGCATGGTAACAGCATCAGCCCAGACCTCGAGTAAGACCGTGCAGCAGAGCAGCACTTGCTTTCTGCTGTCTCATCTCCTTAGCTGGTGGCTGCTGCAGCCGAGTGGCTGCAGAAGGCTACCAGGGCAGCAAGCTCAGCACACAGCCCTGACCTTGCCCCCAGTCTGCAAGTCCCAGCAGGGCTGGATTACTTCCCTTTCACCCATTTATCATGACAGAAACCCTTCAGTAAAGAGTGGTTTCAACTAGAATTCAGTTTCTGCCTTTCTTCCATGAAATATACAAATGACACACACATCCCTATTTCAGGCATTAGTGTAATTTCAACCATGTGAACCACTTTTCTGGCCTAGGCCACAAGCAGACCCTGACTAAAATTTCTCCTGCCCTGAAGAGGTCAGCTCTAGACTATTCTTCTACCTCTAGGAAAACAAAACACTTACTGACTGGTTTATTGCTGCTCTTACAAGCAGCTACTTTTATATGTAGACTTATATATGTATGTTTAGGTAGACAGTTTTCCAGTTGAATCTTTCATCCGAAGCCTAAAAGAAGGAAAAATATCTTAATTGTGGTCTAGAGCAGAATTCCATTCTAGAACAGAAGCAGGTACAAGCTCATGCCATCTGGTGTTAGTGGAGCAATGGCTACACTTTGTGATCCTGGACTTGTCAAGGAGGTACCACAGCCGGTTTGTTAATCTCCAGTAACAAACTGTGTTCTTGTTTTACAGGTAAGGTGTTTGTCCTGCTGCAGCTGTCTTTAGTCACCACGGGAGTAGTGACATCTACAGTCTACAACAAAATCTACCAAAACACACTGGACTGGTACAGCGGCTTCTGCTTCATTTTGTCTTTTCTAGTTGGCTGCCTGAGTCTCATCCCTTTAAGGTAAGAAATAGGAAAGATTTTGGTCAAAAGGACACATTGTCTTTTCTCTGTGCTTCCTGATTCTAGGTCTAAAATACATCATTCAGACAGGAAAGTGTTTTAAAAAGAAAAAATTCCCCCCCACCAACTGAATAATAATAATAATAAAAAAAAAGGCGAAAAAAAAAGAAACTTAGAGATTAGTTGACAAATATCAAGGAGATTCAAAGAATGAAAGTAGCAATGTCTAGCCAGTGTCTTTTATCTTATTTTTGTTTAATGTAACAGGAATTGCTGTAGGAAGAGTATTTGGCACTTTAAAAGCTAGTAATCCCAGGGGACAAAGCATTCACACAAATGTGTTTGATACTGTGAAAATAGCAGTAAGAAGAATGAAGGAATAACCCTACACAAAGTAAAGTGTGTTTTTTTAAAAAAATCTGTTATATATTACTTACCCATTGTGACAGAAAAGAATAATCTGAATCTCCCTCAAGTGTTTCAAAGATAAACCATTACCACAGTGAAGGAAAACTTTTACTTTTTAAAAAAACTTTTACTTTTTTTACTTTTTTAACTTTTTACTTTTCTGGTCCACTGAATTCACTCAACTGTACCACCATGGAGGGACATGAGGAACAATGTCAGGAACAACTTTTAAGCTCAAAACCAGCTAAATTTGAAGAGAGAAAGCTGGAACAACCCCTTTATCTACTTCTACAGAATTTTTGAAGGGTCTCCCTCCGTATCTCACTTTGTCCATTAGAGCCTTCCCAAGACTCTCCAGCTTCTTACATTACTAGAAAGCTTTTCTGTATGAAGTAAACTGTGATAATGTCTGTATTTAGTCCATATAACAATATTTTCATTCAGATATAAGGCATGTACTGGATAGGCTAACGCCTGATTCCAGGCAAAATTCTTGCCTAGCTCTGCTGTCGTTTAAACAAAATATAGTAGTACAAAGTCTAAAAGCACTATATATACTGACTTTAGTGGCAACACTCAGAGAGGAAGAAAAAGCAACACTAAGGAAAGCTCTACCATCACCCCTGTTTTATCCAGAGGCTTTCTGGGTCTGTGAATGCATTGACAACCATTGTCTTCAGGACTACTAGTGTGGGGAAGGCTATTTCCTACTTACCATTCCCCCAGCTCTGCTTTCCTCCTCAGATCTCCCAGACACAAAAGACTTCTTTCTTATGTGCAACCCTCTCTTTAACAGGGTTTGCTGCTAGCTACTCAAATGCTTTTTAATATAGGTTCCAAACAGAAGTACCATTATCAATACAAACATGGGTTAATAAAGGATGACAAATGGTGCCCATGTCACTGCTTGTACACAAGAAAGGCCGGTAGGTCATTGAGAGGAATCCCAGCAGCACTCAGCCAGCTCCAGACACCCCAGCAAAGTCTAGGAGATAGACGTGGGAAGGGCAAACTGCAGTTTGAGAAGCTAGTTAGCTAATTCTTATTATCTGCATGTTTTATTGTTCTTTACAGCTTTGTGGCCATCAAACAACAGTCAACCACTGGCTCCCTTGAGATTCTGACTGAGTAACAGAGGCATCTTCTCATTGTTATCATTAGTCCCTACAGTTACCAACACAACAGGACACATAGCATTTGTTTTTCCATTTCACAGCATGCCACAACCTCTTGGCCACTAAGCTTACCCAGGAAGAGATGTTTGCCTTGTTATTTCTGCAGCACGCACCCCATCCTGCAGTGAATGTACACTGCCTATTGCACACCAGCAGTCCTTAGAGCATTCTGCTAGGCTGGTTAGCAATACCAAAGAGGGACAAGAATATAGGCTATAAATGAAAATGGCATTTCTAGACACATCATTCAGGGTGGAAGTGTAAAGCAGAGGATCAGTTTTCCATTAGTTCCTTCTTGTCTGTTAATTCATAAATCTCAGGGCAGCTGTGTGACTTTGGCTGAGGAAACAGGGCTGCAAGCCACATGCCATGTGCACAGGGCCATCAGCAGGATACACCAGCTCTCCACCTCCTGTAGATGTTATCAGCCCAGACAATTAATGTTACATACAAGACCATTAAATAGAGAAATACCACAGTAAAAATATGTAAGATTAACAGAATTTTAGTAATCCTTACAATAAAACACCCCCAAACAGATGTTCATGACCCTGATTTCCGGGAGATTGTCCCACTGTCCCTGGACAGTCCTTCAACAGAGCTCATGCAAGGACTAAGAGCTAATGCTGGTGCTTCAGCTCACACCACCAAGATGTGCTACTCCTGTAACAGGTTACAAACAGGTAAGTTCAGCACACAGCTCCTACAGGATTTATGGAGGTATAGGGACACTGATACCATGTAATAGGCACCACGCTGCCTCAGCTTTAATCTGGGTTGGAAGGGAATCTCATACAACACAGCAAGTAGTGAGATGATGTCACATTAATCCAAACATGAGTTAAAAGTCTGGCATGTCTCACATGGATGTGTCTGCTTAAATGCTAATTGAACTAAGAAGGATTAAGCGGCTTCCAAGGTCCTGGACTAAGTAATGGGAAGTTAAAAGCCCTTAAATAACTGAAATAATCTGGAGGTAAATCAGGCAGCTTCAGTTTGAGCCAGAGGTATAGCAAGCAGTTGTTTCATCATTACACAGTCCCTTGCTCTTAGGAAGTTGCTACCACCCTGTCGTTTCCCTGCCCCCCCTGCCCAATCTTTCCTCAGCTCCTTCACTCTCAGTACCAGAAGTAATGCAGAAACAGGTCAGATAATTTCTAGCTAGATCAACTGGGGAAGAAGATTTTAGGGGAAGATATTTCTACAGTAAAATAGTAAGCTGCTTAGCAAAATAAGCACACACATAATTTCACCAGTGAAGACTGCAAAAAAAAGAAACTTTATTCTAAGTAAAGGAGTAATCTTTTATACATTTATTGGTCCATTCCATTAAATTAATTGAGGTAAACAAATGGTGCATTTAAAAAAAATTTACACACTAATAGAGAATTACAAACAGTTTTACCTCAAAGCATTTTTCTCCATCAATACTAGCTCCATAGTAAACAATGCACAAAGTATATTTAATGAGATATATGAAAGGGTATAGAAACATGCCAGCACCAGAAGGCAAGACAACATTTCCTAGCCTGCGAGTCAGAACAAGAGCATAGATGCCAGATTTGACTAAGTACAGGAAGCAAAAGCTTCCTTCCCAGTTTTACATCATTTACTAGCTAATTCACACAGAGGTGTCTTTTCACAGCTTTCATTTTATATTTTAATGGTATAAACAGTGACTCTAGTTCTGGTGAGTGGTTTATAGAATGAAAGCAGAAGAGTCTGGACAAGGAACCAGCACCGTTTTGGTCCCCATCACTGACACCTTCAACACAAGTGTGTGAAGCTCACAGACAGCTTGACTTCATCTGCATGGCCAAACTCTCCAGACGTTATGGATGGAAAGTGGGATGCAGGCACAGAAAAGCGAGAACAAGGATGGTGCTTCTTTATTTTAGACAAAAGCCCTTTGGCTCTTATTGTAAGACTGGCCCTCAGCAATCTGTGCAGTGGGAATGTTGCACTGGCCACAATGGTACAGCTTAATCTGAAGGTATGGATACATATCCCAGCACCAGGGTTAAGGAAATGGTTTAACTTCAAAGCACAGAATACCAAGACCTTCAAAGTAGTCTAGGACAGTGACTAGTCTGTATTGTTTTAGCATGCCATTTACGTAACGGTGATCTACTTATACCTCTTTGGAAAGTTCATTATTTTCTGCAGATTTACTGTGCTTTAGGCATGCAACCTTAAAACTTGTCCAGTTAATTACTAAGTATTTCTACAGGTCAGATACTTCAGCAAGATTTTCAAGGGCTAAGCACAGAATTAAGCACTGCCATTTTAGTTTGTAAATTGGTTCAACAGCACTCTCAGAAAGCTTTAAATGCCACATTCAGTCTGCCAGAAGGCAAGTTTATTCCTGTGATCCCCAGTTTTACTTCAAAAGAGGGAAACAAAAATAATACAACAAGAAATAGCAACTTGCCTGTCTTAAAAAAAAAAGTCCTCATTTTAACCACATTTGCTTAATGTAGCCAAGGAAAAAATGTTCTACCTTCAGAATTTAAGATGGCAGAACATCTAATGAGCTAATTTAGTCTATACAATTTTGTTCAGTGGTTATTAGGACAAGGATTTTCAACAATCAGCAACAATAATCATAAGAATATCCAGTTAAATTGTGCCTGTTTTAACAAAAGCATGGCTCCTGTTAAAATAACGAATAGTCCCTGCTGATCTGGGAAAGAACTCCTTGGTACCCCTGAATCTGCAGGACTGACACCTGAAGCAATATGTGTCATGAACAGGCTATGCAGAGCCACTGCTTCAAGGCTACCGCACAGTACCTCCAGAGAACTGCTTTGTTCTCTGCCATTCCTGCTTTGTTTCTATCAGTTATTCCACTATTTTATCCTTAGCACAAGTTCTAGTGCAGCAAAAATCCAAGTAGATTTCAGTGAAGAGTCATACTTTATTCTTTAATACAACTCACACCAAAACTGTTTGTGTCTTCAGGGCTTACCTTATCATTTTTCAATGTATACCTGAAAAAGCCACAATGTTTTAATATCTATGTTTATTGCAAGATTTAGAACCTGATAAGGTATACATGAACAATGCATGGTCCTTTACTGAACATAGAAACAAGATCTTGTGCTGGTGCTACTTAAGAGAAGAAACAAACACCACAGAAACTATACAGAAGTAACTATGCAGCAGTGAATTATGCATCTGCTGAGAGGGCCTTGCCCTGGCTATGCATTATGAGGAAAACTGGGCTGATTTAAGGACTGCTGAAAGAACCACATGTTAAACAGGCTTATAAAAAGGTTGCTGACTACTTTTGGTGTCATTTTGGTGCACATGCAGAGAGTCATCTTAAGTGACATAACACTCAACAAGTTATTCAAAGATGATGCTCCTGCACCTCTCCTGGTTCCAATTTACCAGTATCTTCTATTTCTCTCACGGAAGTGTGGACCATCCAAAGTAAAGACTTCTATAAGGATTACAGGATAACATGTTAAGAATTTCACTCTCATTTCAGGACTCAATCTCCCTCTAACACCAGTTATGTGATACAAGTGTCACTCTGCACATCTTTCAGGAATTTCCTGCAACTTTTGTAGTTTTCCTGACTGGCATGGCTGCCCCAAATATCACAGTCAGGATCCTCCCCACACCTCACACGCAGCCTCTCCCTCAACTACCTTGTGATTTACAACATAAAAACAGACCACTCCACAGCCTGCAGGAACTGAAACCCACCTACGCACACTGCAGCAATTCTGGCAGAAGACTTCTCCTTTGAATATCACATTTTACTTCCCTTGTAAGAGCTTAAGATGTTTTGGTCCAGATCACATATGTTATCCTGATCTTCAGCAGCTCCAGCCTCAACAGTTACATGTTGATTTGAACTTCACTTGGTACTCTCCACTGTCCATTATGCTTCTCATGAACAGCTGTGATGTTAACTGCTGAATTCCCCAGAAGCACCACCCACTTCAGTTTGACATAAAGCAAAGCAGGAAGAGTCCCTTAGTGTTGTAATGCATCAGATGAAACCACCTGTAGGAAAAAAACACCATTCTTTCTACTCATCTTATGCTGTTTATTTTAATAAGATGGTGGGAAGACTGACTAAATATTAGTTCAAAACATATTTTGCTTCAGTCCCAGTGATGTTGTAGAGTCAACTAAAAAATTCCATTTACTCTACGTGAACTAAATCAAAAAGTATGTTGGTCTTTCTTTGTGGAAAACGGGGAAGACAGAAAGACAGACTGTTAGATAGTATGCAAGTGCTTATTCTAGATTGCTGCAAGATGATCCCCTTAAGTACTTCCCCTGAACAAGAGGAGTTTGTGATTCTGAACCTAACAGTAACTTAAACCAGAGTTCTCACTTACACCAAAAGCTGCATATTGACAAACTGACCTTAAAACAAGAAACATAGTTCATTTAGTACCACAGAGCTGTCAATGAAGGCTGAGCCGAAAAGAAAAATTTCTTAAAATGTCTTATACTTTTTCATGCAGAGAGCACCCTCTCATTAGGCTGACAGCTACCACAGTGCTGCAATAACTCATCTTGAGAGTTCCATAAAGCCACCAGGCTGAGAAGGCTGGCTGCATGTTCAGTTGGTGTTTATGAAGGAATAAATTCTAAATCAGACTAGCGCGCCTGGTAGGTTGTTACAGGAGAACAGAGAAGTTGCACAAAATCAATCACTGTTCACATTCTTTGCAAGAATGTTGCCAGAGAACAAGTAATCACTCAAATTTAGCAGTAAGCGGAGTTATTTATTGCCCTAAATCCCAGTATTACACTCATGAGCCCCAATCCCCCCCTCACTAGGGATGGTTAAACACATCAGCATTCCTGAGGCCATTAATACCAAGTAGGCATTTACTTCAGGTTGGACTGCAAGAGCAAGGACAAAAAAGAGACTTGCAGAAGCAGCTGCAATTCTAAAGGCCAACCAAAACTACTCAGAAAATAGATCTGTAACAAAAGCAATCCTAAAAGACTTGCCATGTGGTTCAGCAGAGACAGGTATGAAGTCTATGTGTACCTAATAGGGTACCCATCTATCCCCCACCAACCCATTTAAGGCAAGTTTCACACACTCTTGCCCTGCTTGGTGGAAGGAATCATTTGACACCCTTTGGCTTCTCCAAAGAAAGCATGGGGAGAGAAAGCAGAGTTCTACTTTTACTACAGCAGGCATCTTCAGGTGCCTAAAGTGGCTCTAGTAAAACCCATATATAAAGTATGGTGTAAGAGATCTCCACCACACACCTTCCAGAGCTAACTGTGGAAAAATTAAAAATTCATGCTTCTTCCCCCACTCCCACAACCTTCAAAAAGCTGCAGTCCAACTCATTCCCACAGCTAGGCTGGTTTTGATCCCCAAGTCAGTCACAAGAACACTTCAGTCAACTGACATTACTTCATAATCACCAAGGTAAACAAAGATACTCAGTATGAACCAACAGCATGCCACACTTACAAAAACCACAATTCATGCTTGCATCACCAGCTATCTGCAGCTGGTATTGGTATGGTCTGCCTAGAAACAGCCCAACTCCCGGACAGAAAAGTCTACAGAGACCATTTCTTCCAGAGGGAGCACACGGGTGATAGCAAACCACAAAATATTCTTTCCCAGCCTTCCCTTGTCCATTAAAAAAAAAAAAAAGGATTGGTTAGGGAGTACTGGAGTACTGTATTACAGAAATAATTATTGGGGGTTTGAGGCAAACAAAACAGAATGGTAATAAAGATGTCATTTGGCACCTTGCAGTAGAGTTTTATTTTCATCTTTTTAGTGCTCCACTCATCAGTTCCTTCCAGACTAGAGAGGTAAATTTATCAAGATCCCCATGCACTTTCACTATGAACCCCAATCACTCCATAGGATAAAGAAGGAACCATTCAAGGTAACTAAAAAAGATGAAACATAACCCATTTTAAACACAAAAAATGAGAAAAAAAAATTCAAATAGGCTGGAACAGATACTCTGAAAAACTAAGTGCAGCTGTCATTTCAGTCAACTTAAAAAAAAGAGTCTCCATACAGTTCCAGTATGACTAGTGGTAGTGAGCATAGAAGTGCTAGACTGTCCATGAAGGTAGTTCTTATTTGGTCTCTGGCTTGTCTTGCAATAGTGGTATAATTGACTCCCACGCCGTAAGGCACTGAAGAAAGAAAGAAAGATTTACAAAATTGATTTTATATCGGTTCATATGATTTCTGACCAACCCGTCCAGACCAACAGCATGCAAGTTGAAGGAAAGTTATGTGGGTCTTTATAGATTATTACAGAAGGGGGAAAAAAACCAGAATGTCAAAAAGCAAGGAAGTCTTGGAATAGCTGCATCTTCTCAACAAATTCAAGTTTTCCAAAGTCATCAGCTGGCCCAAGCCATTAATCATCAGGATCTCCATACACTAACTTACAATTTTTCTAGACTGAATAATACCACAGTTTTCAGCTATTGTTTTGAGTAGAAATTTACATCTTTGTGGTGTGACTGGGGGTAAAGACTAATTTGGACACAATGGCAGATATTGCAGAGTAAAAACTTATTTGAAAGAAAACATGCATTTAGGGAAGTTGATTCTGAGACACACTGTATTCCAGTATGGCTCTGGCACTCAGCTCTACATGATGAACTGGTAGTACCTGGTATAGTAAACTGTAAGTGGAGTGTAGGTTCTGGGTTACTCGAAAGCCACTCTAGGCTTTAGAGTCATTTTCCCAGACACATACACTTACAACAGTCCTTGTACTGTGTGCTGTAACTGCCTTTCAACCACACAAAGCCCAGAAGTACAACTGGGCAAATACAGACTGTGGAATCCAAATTATTAAATCTGGAAATGGGCAAACTCATCAGCAGCTCTTATATCCACAAGTCATTGCTGACAGACATCTTTCTTCTAACCTGCTGACTGTACTGCAGATGAATAGAGTACTTCTAGTTGAGTACCCTGAAGTGACTGGACACTTTCTTACTCAAAAAGCTTCCTTGCTAAAAGCAAAACTAATGTAGAGATCTAACTGTCAATTGCAGAGGCACTTGACACAGATGTTCAGTGGAGTCTCTAATATCCCCCTCTACAGCAGCCTTAGAACCGAATCCAGGGTGAAGGAAGTTTTGTGTGAGCAGTTATGAACTATGACAAGACAGACACTGGAAGGGGAAAAGGTACTGCATACTAATATTACATGGAAAGGTAAACTAGCTTAGGAAGTTTACTTGTAAAGTAAAGTTTACTACTCGTAAAGTAGATGTGTAAAAATGAACAGACAAAATGAAGTATAGTTTACTGGGCAATGCATAAACCTTATAGTTCTGGTAGTGTTTAGTATTTCATAAATATTTAATCTACATAAAGGGGGCTTATGAGACAGCTGGAGGAGTACTTTTTACAAGGGCTTGTGGTGACAGGACAAGGGACAATTTCTTTAAACCGGAAGAGGGCAGGTTTAGATTAGACAATTAGGAGGAATTTTTTACTTTTAGGATAATAAAACACTGGGACAGCTTTCCCAGAGAAGCTGTGGATGCTCCATCTCTGGAAGTGTTTTAGGTTCATGCTGGATGGGGCTCTGAACCACCTTGCTCTAGTGGAAGGCATCCCTGCCTCTGGAAGAGGTTGAAACTTACATGGCCTATAGGGTACCTTCCAAACCATTCTGTGATCCTATGACATCAACCACTGCATTGGGCTGCATGCTCTCACACAAAGGAAAATTATATGGGAAGCATATGCAGTGAAACGTCAAGGTCCTTTTAATTAAAAATAAAAAAATCTAACACCAAATATCAGGTACAAATGCACCAACTGAAAAAGGGCAGAGGCTAGGTATTTTCAGGACTGGTATACAAGGGATAGAACAATGCACAAAGGGACAGGAACTAGAATAATTTACACATAGCCGATGTAATCTATACATGAATGTGTGGACTTGTATTAACTCATGTAGTTTTGTTCATAAAAGGCAAAATCAAGAGATTACTCTAGTAGTATTACTAGAATGTGCAATTCTGAGGTTTTTTTCATCACTACTGCTGCTGCTCAGTAATTTGTTCAATTCAAGTGCGAAACAGAAAAGCATGCATGATAAAATGCTATTAGTGCTGACTTGCAAAAGACCACTAGTGTCACAGAGTTCAGCTGACCACAACTTCCAACTCTGACAAAGAACAGCTTCAGATGTCTAATATTCTTGTCTTCAAGACAGTGTGAAGATTTCCTGCAGAATTATCACCACGTCAGAGGAAAATAAACTACTCTTATTCCTGCCTGTGCTTCAACAGTAACACATACCTTCTCGTAGTACTGGATGTTTTTATCTGCCATCCCCATGAGTAGCTGCCTAAAATCTTGTCTTTTGTTGTTCTGCCATCTCTCCATATCTGCTTTCAGGTCAGCATTGAAACATTCTACTCGGTCTTGACATTTCTCAACATCTGTGGGTACCTGCAGCAATAGAAATGAAGATTAAAGTTGTCACTATGAGTGCTAGATTGTTGAATTACCTCAAACCTTACTGAGCAAAACTACAGAAGAAGGGGTTTATTCACAAGCCCGTACTTGTCCTGAATCAACTCAGTTATGGCTGCAAGAAAAAGCTGTGGTTCTGAACTAGAGAGGATATGAGATTGCTTAATTTTTTCTTTGCTGTTTGAGTTGGTGAGTGCTTGTGCTTGTCCACCTCCATGACTGATACAGAGGCACAGGAAAACCATTTGGTGTAAGTGCTGGTACCAAGGCTCAGTTCCTAGTGCTCAAACTGAGCAGTCTGGCTCCACAGCAAACTTTCCTGCTTCCCACAGCTGCAGTAGGAATGTCCCAATTTACACCAGTGTGTATATAACAGCAAACACTTGGGTTTATCAACAAAGCTGGATAAGACACCTCAGTATTGACTGCTTCAGAATAAAATTTCTTAAGTCCTTAGCTTCTAGCTTCCACTTTTAATCTTACAGGCTTCCTGAACAAAATTTAACTGCAAAGCACTCGTGATCATCCAAATAAGATGGGCTCATGGACTTTTAGGCTCAACAACAGAAAAAACCATGCCAAAGCAACAAATGACATCTTGAAGGAAGCCTACTGCAAGCTGAGGTAGAGATTTAAATGGATTTTTGACAGTAGTCACTGGCCCACGGAACATATGCTTTGGACCAACTAAGTTCGTGTTCTTCTCTTATGTTTTAACTAATATAATATATACCACCAGGAAAATACAGGAATAATTTACAAGTGTTTCCTCAAGCAGGAAAGCTGAACACCATTTTTTCCCTTCTCATTGCTGCATGGTCCACACAGAGAGGAATTCTGTAAGGACATGCAGACTAAACCCATGAGTTCAGAAGAGGAAACTCCTGAATCCTGGTACCAAAGTGAGAAGTGAACTTTTGCTTTGGAAGCTGTGACTTTCACAATGGCAAAATACAGAATGAAGAACATTTGAAGAACTTTATGGTGGCTTCTCTCATACTTGATACTTTCAGTAAACTCCCTGAGGGGGTGAAAGAAGGAAGAGGATAAACAGACTACATAAGAAGCTTTTCATGGAGACCTACATGAAGTTAGAGGTAGGCTACTATCTTGCAGGTTGGCAAGGTACTCAATTTAGGCAGAAACACATTGACCGTGTTTCCTCTCCAGGATGTGGATTAGGGCTGATCATTTTATTACTCAGAGAAGGTCTTACACCTGTTCTTCAGTAAATCAACCTGTTTGAGATGCAGGAGCTCTTCATACTCATGGGATTTGAGTTCCCCTTAATTCACACAACTGAATTTACACTACAGGCAGCTTGGAGGTTCAGTAGATACTTTTTCTCTCTGCCATGTCTGAGCACTATACTTACGGCTAAAGAATTCACTCTGCTACAACTCCAGATGAAGTTCCCTCGTAGGCTGCAGATATGAACAATGGAGCCAGTGACTGGAACGTTCAGGGGATGCTCCCCTCAAGGCATGTATGCCTTGCATCATAAGTACTCTATCTTAATAGGAAAGGTTAGGCTACCAAGAGAGATATTCATGAAGTCTGGAAGCAGCACCACATAAGATTTCACAATCAAATTACCTTAGTTTCTAGGCACTCACTAGCTTCCTGCTTCTTCCCCCAGGCTGTGAAACCACAATGAAGCTATACAAAAATCTGTTCTTTCTCACAGCAACTTCTCTGGCTGGTCAGACAGAGGGTCTGAGTTTAGAGCTACAGGATAACACAGTGATCAGTAGATGGGTCATGTGTGCTCTCATTAAGGAACAACAACAACTAACTCAAACTAAGTCTCCAGAGGTATCATGAAAGTAATGTCTGCACATGCAGCAGTCCTATTTGGGAGTGGAAACGCCTTAGCTTATAAACTGCAGCTTCCTAGAACATAATTTGCAACTCAGTAGTTAAGACAAAATTTTAAGTTAATTAACAGCTTTTAAGCACTTTATATCAGTGCAAACTCAATGCAAAGAGATACTATATGTTTATCATCAAATTTGGGCCTAAGTTGAAGCCTCAAAGCTGATGCTTTTATCTGTTTTTATCAATGGAGACACTAAATATTAGCTAACAACTAAGAACCAGGAAGAAAGTAGATTGGATTTCGGGGGAAGTTACTACTTCTTTACTGATCTGCTCTCAGCTACTTAATAGCTCAATAACCCCTCCAGCCACAAAATCAAAGTGATAACTGGTTCAATCTCCAACACACTCCTGAAGGGCCCAGGACTATTTTAGTCAGTCAATCTCAACTGATGAGAGATGTACACACAGGCAAGAACTGAGCATGAAATTGTACATATATGATAAGAAGTTCTGCATGTGTATCTAATCCTCTTCATGCTAATTCTTTCTCTTAAAAAGCTAAGCTTGCTAAACATCTATAATTTAGTGTGGCCAATTACAGATAGCATGTCCACTTTAAAACTCCCCTATATCATCATTACCAAGTAACAAATGGTCCTAAAGCAGAACAAATCCAGCATTAATTAGACAACTTATCTCTGCAAAAGATATTTCTACCTTCCTAGTTCTTGGAAAACAGTTATCTATTATAAGGCTTTTTTCCCCACTTCAAGTTCTGCACTGCCACATTTACTGCTCCCATAGATCACCAAACTTCAAAGCCTTGATGTAGACAGAATAAAACAGATCATCAGAGACAAACTTCATCTCACCAAAACGAAACCACACCCACCCTTCAGTGCGCTGGTTAGATTACTGCAAAATCAGCTCCAGCGTGGGTTAGAAATGGGTGAGAGGCATTTCACCACTGCACTTGTTAGAAACTGAAAGGTTGCAGATTCCACATGAACACCACAATGCTACTGGTAAACAACACCCAACTGTGCTTTTTGGTGTAAGCTTCAGCATTGTGAGCAGTACCTGCTGACAGTGACAGCAGCGCTACAAGCCTTCTGCATTCATAGGCCACTGAGCTCTAGGCTGATCTCACTGCCAGAGCAATCTAATGGCCTGGTGAGCTCTGTGATGCCAAGCTGTGTACGTGCACAGGAGGCCCAGAATGCCCTCCAGGGAGAGATTATCAAGTAGTAATAGGCTTTCCTTTCAAGATCTAAACAAAGGCCTTTGTTCTCTTAAGGTTTCGTTTAGGGTCTTTTTACATCATTTCTACCGAATCGCCAAACATGCCTCAAGGAAGGCAAATGCCATTCCACAATATGACCCTCTGCCTGCTTTTAGTTTCCAGCAAGTTATAGCCAGTAGACCTCGCTGAATGTAAGATATGCTGCTAAGCACAGCTCTGAGCTATTACATCTTACAGGTAATGATACAGCCTCTGGCTGGAAAGGTTCTGAAAACCCCAGAGACAATATTTTGTGAACATGCAAGAAGTTCTACAGAGTTTGTTCAACTTCATCTTGTAAATGACACAAACTACTTATGTTACAAAAAGGTACAAGGAGTTGCCAAAAAATATGCTGATACTCTGGAGAGGAGACTGAAGTACTCAAAAAATTCTCAAGATTTAAATGCTGCACTTTATGCAACAATCGCACTGAGATATAAGATCCAAAGGCCTTTTAACAGGTGCAAGATTAGCAAAATTCAGTAATTCCACTGTATCTTGGTAATATCTTGGTAAAATATGGTGGCTAAAATGCCTAAAAACTGGCTTGCTGGATATGTTAGACTTAATTCCCTCCATCCTAGATAAAACTGTTAGAACCTGTTTACACAAAGCTATATTGAGGAAGTAGAGTGCATACCAACCAGCAGAGGGGCAGGCAGTAGACCCAAATAAAAGAGCTTTTCTGATAAACACCTAGTACACCACTATTTGTAGCTCTCTATAGACAAAAGATCAGAAAAACACTTTTGCATTTCTATGCTCTTGTCCTCTTCAGCTTCTTAGATTCAAAATATTATGTAAACCTACTGTAGAGTAAACCTTATTGTACAGCAGTCATAATACTGAAAAGTCATCCATTAATTATTAACACAAATATAGGGGAAACCAAAAACTCCAAGCAGAAGAAGGGAACAAACCCTGTTGTCATGATCAGTTATAGCTGGAGTGATTTAAGAAAAGGCTCTTGCACTCTGCTTCATGCAAGCAGGTGGCAGCAAAAGTACGTCAGTTCACAGCTTTGCTTCTGCATAGTCCCAAGCCAAAAACCTGTCATCCAGTGACATGTGCCATCTCTGTTCAGCATCAGACAGGTAGAGCTCCCTAGCAGAAAGGGCAAAATAAGGAGTTTTCCGCAGCCAAAACCAGTGTTCTGCAACAATACAGCTCCACAGTGCTAGGGACAGAACCCTAACTCAGCTAACTGGCATACTGCTGAGTCACCAGGGGCTGTTCTACCACTGCTTTGCTAGCTGTCACTGAACAGTCTGACTGACTGCTGGCTCTTTTTGAAGTGTTACAGAGTCACACTGACTCTATTCACCTGCTCTGGCCATGTGAGAGATCAGTAGTACAGAAGTTGCTAGACAACTTACATATATTCATACTTGGGTCTTTATTTCACACCAGCTTGCCAACAACAAATTTCTGTTCTGCCAGAAACTGCTTATACCAGATCCAGAAAAAAAGCAAGAAAAAGAAGTTCTGCTTCTCCATTCTTTGCAGGAAGTAACGCAAGTGCAAACTGTAGAGTAATTTTAAGTGCTAACCTTTGGACGGTCTTCTCTTTTCAAGGCTACTGCTTCCAGTTTTGCTTCATACTCCGCTTGAACTTGGTCTCTCTTCTTCAACACATTCTATGGGCAAGAGAAAAGAGAGCTGTGAAATTATCTGCTTGTTCCTACCCCCAGCCCCCGAGGAACTCAAATGAAGTGATACATCTTCAGTGCCAAATAAGCCCAAAGTCAGACTTCCAGATTTACTTTGTCCTATTTTACAGCATTTGCGGAGTCAGCTTTTAATAAAGAACAGCACTTGCTCTCCATCAGCTGGCAGGGACAGATAAAATTCAACATTTGGACAAGCTTGAGGCATGCCAGATACAAGCTGTCATGAAACCATCAATATAACCCTGACTAAGTAAATTTAATTTATCAGTTGACCTATTACTACCATGAAAATTATATAAACAAAGCATCAAATCTGACAAGGACTAATGTAAAGTTTCTGATATCCTCAAGCAGCAGACAGACAACAGCATTGACTAAGAGACAGGAAGACCACCACAGAAGGTATTACAGCTCCCTTTCCATTTGCAAAGACTCTTCAGAATCCTTTAAAGCAAGCTATCAGATTCTGGTATTAGAGCAAAAGGAAGCCTTTATTTTAGATCAGTCTTGGGTGGGGGGAGGGTGGTTCTTTATTGTTTTTATTAAAAAATAAATATGAAAAGGACAATTTGAATAATGAAAAGCACTGGACTGCCTGAGAGAGCTCCTCAAGCAGTAAACATTTTCTTGACAAGAGTGTTTTCAAGATAGAGAGCCAAATATGCCCCCTTAGCTTGTACTATATCCACACAGAATTTCACTAAGGTTATACTACAGTCTTGCAGTTTAAAAACAACAACAGGAATTAGTCTGAGAATGACTTACTAAAAAATAAAGTTTTGTGTCTGCAAGAGCGGGCAACTTATTACTTCAGGTTTCACAAAGAAACAACTAGTACTTTTTAACTACTCTATTGATGAAAAGTTATTATTAAAAATGCTCAGAGGGAAGTCAGACAACACTCGCTGTAAATTTGAAATTCTCTTGCAGCTAATTTGGCTTTTAGTCTTCCCTTCTGCCACCTAGAAGGAATTGTCCCATTAGGACACGAAGTGGAAACTAGTCACTTTAACAGGTCCAGACAAGGCTAGTAACATAAGACTAGTCACATGCACTGCTCCCTAGAGAAATATGGTTTCAAAAGAATAGTTCCTCAGAGCTCTAACAGCCAGCCTAGATCTAATTAAGAGCAATTAAGGACATACAAATCCTGTACCTACTGATCATCATCATCATCATCCCCCTCCTCCTTCTTAAGCCATGAGAAGGTCACCAATACAGCTGCTCTAGAGTAGAGATTTTGCCATCAACAGTCTTATAAACTTCAACCCACAATAAATGGGAATGGCACCCCATCTACAAAGCTACTATTAGATAAGGCAATAAAACGAGGTCAAACCTGAAGAACTCACCTTCAACATCTTAACTCTCCCTTCTGTTTCAAAAGGGATGCAGAAACATGTCACTCGTGTTTGAATGAAAAACCAAAACAATGCCGCTTCTTTTTGGAATCTACACAACTATGTGGGATGGCCTTTAAGTGATTGAGGTTACCAATGCAACAAAAGCCTGAGAAATTTAATGCGTACTTCTACTTCGTATTGCCTCTTGAACCTGAGTCAACTGAAATTTCTTCTGTGAAAAATAACTGCCTCAAGCAATTGCATTTTGTCTTTAAAAGCCTGGAGTTAGGGCAGGAAGCTGAATCTGTATCAGGAGTAGCCAATGATTAACAGTTACTGGCAAATTGGATGACTTAATTCCCCTTAAGGGCTCAAGTCCACCTACTGTGGACCATTAACAATGAGCTTGAAGTTTTAAGTATCCAGTAATGGCCGACATGCAGGTGATGAAAAAAGTCCTGCTTCCCTTTCACTTGTCCCATTATTTTCCTCTGGCACCTCCAGGCAACCTCCTCTGTTCTAGATCAGTGCCTCAATGCTCAAATTATGAAAAGCTCTGCATCAAGTATCTTCAAAATTATCACAGACCATGTAATACTAGTTAAAGCTTCACTTGGAGAGAAAAAGAGTTTAAAATAGCCGAACTCAAAACTGAAAAAAACCTCAACCAACACACTTCAGTTATTTCAGGTCAGAACTAAACTAGTGGTGTCTGAACATGAAAGACAGCCTAGTTTCAGCAGGTCCTTCATAATTTTGTATTTAGTTGAAACATTCCACCTTGGTCCATACAGAGCTTCAGGAATTTGCCATCTGCCTCCTATCTCAAAATTTCAATTTCAATCCTGTTCGTACACCACATAGCTTCCTACTGTGACTAATCACCTCAAGAGGATCTCTAATTCATGCCGTTAAAGACACAGTTACCTATGTGGTGCTTGATTTAAACATGTGTTAAAAGTTATGTCCAAGAACACCCCTGGGGATCACATCATATAAACCTTTCTAGCAATGTTGGGTAAACAGAAGTCATATAACATCCTAATATCTGCACTGAATCATGTATAGGAGTTACTGTCCTCTGCACATGCCTCCCAGGGCAACACCAGCGTACATCAGCAAATGTGGCACCACATGTTTGCTGACAAAGGCCTCAATGCTACCATGAACATCACCTTGCCATGTAGTAGAAACCATAGAATACCAGGCTGGAAGAGACCTCAAGAATTATCTCATCCTACCCTTCTTGGCAAAAGCATGGTCTAGACAAGATGGATCAGCACCCTGTCCAGCTGGATTTTAAATGTGTCCAGTGTTGGGAAATCCACTGTTTCCCTGGGGACATCATTCCAAAGGTTGATCGTTCTCATTGTGAAAATTCTCCTCTTGTGTTCAAAGAAAATGTCCCCAAGAGTAACTTGCACTAATTTTCCGTTTTCCCGTGGGTCTCCTTGTGAAAAGGGAACTTTCATTACATTTGTAGTCAATCCTTAAATACTGGCAGATGGTGACAGGATTTTCCCTAAGCCTTCTTCCTCAAGGTTGAACATACCAAGCTCTCTCAGCCTTTCCTCATATAGCAGGCTTCTCAGTCTCTTGACCATTTTTGTGGTCCTCTTCCAGACCCTCTTTAGCTTATCCACATCTTTTTGTGTGCAGCAAGGATAAAAACTGAACACAGCTGTGGCCTAACAAGTGCTGAGCAAAGCGAGTAATTTGGAAAGGGTCTATTCTAGACACTTCCAGAGCACATTTTAACTCAAGGTCACAACACCAGCTTCTGCCCTGTTCTGCAAATCTTTCAAACAAATCCAGAGGCTAGGCTTCCCTCAAATCAGCTAATATTCTGTGCTTTATCTACTGTGCTTTGACTCTGTATGTGCAGCTCCCTCAGGCTCTTCCCCTCAGGTACAAGTGTGCTTGTGAAGACATCAAGGCCCCTTCATCTCTGAACAGTGACGATAATCTGGAAGTTCTTACTTGAGAGACATTCAGCCAACTATAGACTGCTCTGTAGATCATGTTCCCCTACCTACACCAGAGGTACAGTGTGCAACAAAGAAAGTTAATCAAGGTTGCATTGAACTCTTAGTACCTGAGGAGTTACATTCCATCAAGTACCCTGTGCAAAAAATGTGCTCTGAATGATCGAAACAGACCTTTCACAAGTAGTCCTCACAGAAGCTGATGAAGAGGAATCCTCTGCTAGTGAACAGGATGCCCCTTTCAACAGAAAGTCTCCTGCACTCCAAGTGTGCACTCCTTACTAACCTTAGTTACTTACTTGGTGTTAAGGATTCTGCAATGACAGCTCTGTAGCTGCTCACTTCAGAAACAGACACAGGCTGATGTTTCCCAGCAGAAGAAAACTGCACTTTGTAGAACCTGAGAGAGAGTTCAGTTTTGATGTCTGAGAGGGAAGGAAAATACAAACTGTCTGTCTTGGCTAACAAAAGTTTTTGTTCTTGATTTTCAAATGTTTAGACTGAGTAAAGTTAAAAAGATGCCCAAGCCAGACACTAAAACAGCATAATCTTTTGGAGCACTAGAAAGTCAAGTCAACAGTCTAAAAAGTTCAAGCTAAAAAGCAAGGGTTTCTTTAGCTGAAGAAGTACTTTAGACAGTTACGTAACTGTTGGCTTGGAGACAGTGCCACTCTAAAAGGCCAAAAGGAAGACTACATACAAGTCTGTAAGGCTGCTCTGCCTGTGGTGAGTGGTGATTATTTGCCTGAAGTACCTCTTCAGCTAAAGAAACCCTCGCTTTTTAGCTTAAAAAAATTTCCCTTACTATATTTGTGAAGAGCAGCTCTCGCAATTCAGCTTGCCCTTTCAGATGCCATTTTTGGTGGCATTTTTAGCATCAAAAACCAGATGCTCTGAGTTGAAGTATTTAATCACTAGCTTCTCACGCTCTGTTTATTTGTAAGCACACTCCATCCACCTCCACTTCCTACAGTCCCAACATCCTGAGACAAGGCTTCCTACAGCTCACTGTGTTCAAGCAATACTTTACTGTTAATAGACCCATAAAGAAAATACACCTCATTCATGCTGGGGTCAAATCCATGGAGACAAAAGCAAAGAATATACCCAGGGAATTAGTGCAAAGACATCTGAGAGTACTTTAACTACACAGATGTACAATTCCTGAAGCTGGGAAAAGACATCTACAAGTAAATGTTTAAATTCTCAGTTTGAGAAGCATAGCATGAGATTAAGACTGAGAAGGACTACCATGTTAAGACTGTAAGTTTACAGCAGGCTATTAGATCTGTAAAAGAGTGCATATCATAGCCTTGTAACAGTTGCTCCAAGTGGAAAGTCTTCAGAAGGAACTTCTCTGTTAGTACTCTATAGCAGGACTGCTATATATAACTCTATATATATCTATAGATATAGATATATATGGCACACATACTGTGCCACGGGTACGTGGTGAAAAGCCCTGACAGACAAACTGAACTCCATGATAACATTTTTAGTGAAGTCTACTCAGTAGTTCTTTTTTCCCCCTTCCCTTTAGATGTGATTGATTACCAATGCTCCTTAACTTCAACAGAATAAAACCCACATTAAAGTTTCTTTTATTACATCTGTGTAAGCAGTAGAATATTAAGTTATTAGAAAGATTACAAGTTACAGAATACCATCTTTGAGCAGTTACTTGGTATACAGAACTTAACAACAGACATATCATGCCCAGGGTATGGGGATGACAGAAGAAGCAATTGGACACATGGTTCTAAAACAAGGCACCCAACTCTGCTACATACAAGTGACAGAAACTGCTAATGCTGTAGTTCCAGCTGGACCAGGCAGTGACTCCGCAGTGATGAGCTGAAGCACAACTGGCTTCAATTCAAAGAATGATTCTAGGCAGCCACAGGATGTCTCCTATAGAGTACCACCTGCCACACCAGTGAAGGGACAACTCTGCAACATGTTGTGTATGCCCTACAATACTGACCCTAGCTTGTCTGAAGAGCAGAGCAGACAGATAATGCTACCCATGAAGTACCCTCCTATTAAGCATACCTAGCTTTGTTATGGTATGAAAATATCCTCCTACTTAATGTATTATTTACTTCTCCACTTTTCCCACTACCATCATTTCTCAGTGTTAAAAAAGAATGAACTCTCTAATTCTAAACAAAAACAACAGTGCTTTCTGCCACAGGGCTCATTTCTCACTACCATCATTTCTCAGTGTTAAAAAAGAATGAACTCTCTAATTCTAAACAAAAACAACAGTGCTTTCTGCCACAGGGCTCTCTTTACCTTCATTGACTCAGCATACAATATATATTCCCTAAGTACAGGCAGGAAGTCTTCTGTCATGTCCTCACTGAGTTCTTCAAGAGCTGTGCAGCAATTCCCAATACAGGCAGACACTCCTTCCAGTGGCTCTGATAGCTCCACCTCCAGCCCTCCCCAGGTCGAATAAACAGGTCCATATTCTCGTAGTTCCACCAAGTATTCTACAAGAAGCAGATGGAAAAATAGATTAACAGAGTAAAAGCAATGCACAAAGATGTGCAAACACAAAATAGGAGAAATTATGCATCAATTTTGAGCAACATTAATCCCCACAGGGAGTCAAGATGTGTGTTGCATTAGCTTCTTAATAGACAGAGGTCTTTGGCTGCACAGGTGACAGGTTCAAGTTGCTTCTTTTTTAACTTACCATTCCTACAGACTTCCAATACAAAGACTCCTGCATCTTAGCAGTAGCCAAGGTCAGTTTTTTAAACATTCATAAAACTTAACTCTACTAAGACAGACCTGTAAAGCTTGTCTTTCTCTAGGAATTCCATCTGTACTCCTCCAGGTGGAATCTACAGGTTCTTCCACCTTCCAAAAGTCTTTAAAAAAATTACGCCAGTAAGACAGTACGCTGGTATAAAAAGTTCAACTTCAAAAAAAATGTTTGAAAAGTTGAGCTAATATCAGATACTGCACTAGGCTTTGGGCCTTTTTAAAATCTGGAACATTAGATTTTGCCCTGTGTATGATGTATAACAGCCCAGAATCATCAACACAAATTGTATTGATAATGCTATCAACCAGAATAAGACACAGAGCATTCAGACTGAAGTACTATGATGGAACACCTTGTGTCCTTACCCAACTGTTCCTTGATGATTCGTTGTGCAATTCTGTCGATGGTACCAAGCTTTAGAGAGAATGTGTCTAGATAATCCCCAATGGCTGCAAACTCCAGTGGCCGACTTCTTAATTTGTAGCCTCCTGTAACGTATTTGACAGATTCCCCCATCTTTGACAGCAAAGCCATTCCCTGCTTTTTGTAGGCATTAAGATCCTAGGAAATAAAACAAACAAACAAACAAACAGACCAAAAACCCAACCAAAACAAAAAAGAATATGTTTAGGAATACTCACTTATATGTTTAAATATTAATACAATGAAGGATACTTTCCAGTCAAGACCAAATCTTGTGAAAGCAAGATTACATGCAATATGCAGCCTTGAACAAAGGCTTGCTTTCAACAAGCTGAACAGCTGAGCACAGTTTCAAGGCTTCATGGAGGTAAACTATCCAGGAGAATAGCAAGAAGTATATCAGAAAACACTAAGTAGTCCAAGTTTGCATGTGGCCGTACTTTCCCATCTCCCTGTACTCTCACCAGGGAAGCAGGCTTGTTAATGGCTCTGGTCCTACCTCCACATCATTCATCTACACATACTTCCAAGTCACAGCTACAATACCATTATTAACCAGGTGCACCAGCTGGCTCTGATGACCTACCACAGAGCTACATATTGCACACCTATTTGGTAAGCAGCCTCCTTACTCCAGTTCTGTGGTCAAACAGGAGCCAGGTGAAGACTGCATGCAGAAAAAAAGCAGCGTGGGGAGACCAGCAGAACTTCTCTGCAAGAGAGACTGTAGCTCGTCTGGATCAGACACATCCATGTTGCCTCCACAGAAAGTGTAAACCTCCTTCACACTCCTTTACACATTTGCATAAACCAACTTTCAGATAAACTGTGTTAACAAGACTGCTTGCCCACAATTTTCATGGGATTTCACCTTAACAGTACATCAGAACAGTACACCATGGTTTTAGTCAGCCAAAACGCTGACAATTTTTCATTTTTACTTCTTCCAGCAGAGGTCAGTATTCAACGTCTCAAAACAGGCTCAGGAGCTATAGCTTAGTTATCCTATAGAGCCTGAGGAAGAGATGTATTCAAACCAAGCAGGCCTGCAGAGACCAAGAATTCAGACATATTATTAAAGACTAGATTACAAGCTTAAGTGTTCTTCAGAAAAAACCCAAAAAAATAGCAGCCATCTTCAAAACATGTACTGTGGTACTCCTTCCAAGTACTGAACGTAAGTCAAATGTAAGTCTGATTAAGAAAATCTGACATCTTAAAAGCTACTATAATTTTCAATTATGTTTGCATTTAAATGCAGTTTTGTTTTCCACATGTCCTAGCACAGTGAACTGACACCACACTGCTCCACTAGACCAAGTTCAAACATTAGAGACAGTCAGCAGAACAGATGTCTGTCCTTTCCCCTCACCTCCCAGGATGCTTTGTAATCTCAAGGCAAACTCCTCCTAAAGCAGAGGATGAAGCCCTTGACATTCATTTCACAGGGGTGGGAGAACACAAATAAAGCAGCTAGGAAAGCTGCATCATGCTTGGACAGATAAAAGAGGAACAGAGCTATATGACATTTAGTGTGCTAAACAAATTCTGCATTTCTGTCTTGTTTCAGTGGTTAATTCACCACGGAGGGGAAATAAAAGAACACTGGAGATTGATTATTAACAGCAAGCAGAGCATGAACCTGAAGGGAGCTTAAACATCACATTTAAGCTCGAGCAACGTGACTTTGGAAAGGCATGCTTTTACAGCACTTCTCACCTATCTGGTAAAACCCAAGCATAGCTGCAGGTCCTCCTAGTCTTATTTGAAATGCAGTTCTAAAAAAAGCCAAAGAAAATTGCACCATTCCTGCATGAGTCATGAAAAAGACAAGCATGAAATTGTTTGCTGAGAACAAATAAGAATGAGGCCTCCATGCTTAGTTTTGAGGGTATCAAGTGCAAGCAGTATAAAAAGCACAGGCAATACAAAAAGTCAAGAAATTTGCAAGCTTTTGTGCAGGGGAGACACAAAAGCTTTTCTCTTCCTCTCTCCCTTCCTTCCTATCCAAAAGAGGATTTTAAAGTCTACAGTTTTCTGAATTTTTATTCCCTCTTGCATAACATGAGTATGTTCTAGGCTACAAAATAAGCAGGTCTGGATAATTCAATTTATCCATCTGTAGAGAGGATTCCTCTTCCCTTCAAGTACAGGGAACCCTTACTGTTGTCACACACAAGGGTCTGTCACACACAATAGTCAGAGTGCCCAACGACCCTCTGGTATTTTAGATAAAGTTCTGATCTGAACATGTAGTTTTGTTAATGCCTTTTTACCCTCATTTTTAGAAGGCATTGCACATGTCAACAATTGCATTTGAAAGTTACTGGCTTACCTTAGCTGTGAGAAAGACATTGAAGTGCTCATTAAAAGACAGCACTGGGTGATCAGTTATTCTCTTCAAGAACTTGTCTAATGCTTTCCTCCTTGTCTCCACAAACTCTTCCGAAAAGCGATCAACAACACCCTTCACCACAAATTTTTCAGGAAGAGGCTATCAGAGATAAGCAAACAATATAAGATTCAAAAGACCAAAAACTTGTTTCTGTTACTTGGAACAAACAAAGCAATCAAATTCCAGTCTTAACAGGAACTGAAACATTGCATTTGCTAACAGGAACCATGCATCAGATGGGATACAAGCTGTGCTCAGAATTATTCTTCAGCTGGTCTGGCTTAAAGCTAGCTATTCTACTGAGTGGCTTCAGCTGAGAGTCACAACAGGGAAATCAGACATTACCCACACTAAGTACATGTAGCATAGCTTAGATTGTTCTCCCTACTGCTATCCATACTCAAGATCCAGCTCTAAAGAGATGCCACAAGTGGTGCACGCTATTTATAACAGAAGCGCGTGCGAACACACACCCACGCACACCCCGCCAGCATTGAAGCAAGGCTGCCCAGTCTCAGGAAACTCAGAAAAATTGACACTTCAACTTACTCCCCACACACCCTCTCTGAACAATTTAGAGCTTTTGAACAGGGCCCTCCTGTAAAAGGCTGACAAGCCTCAGTGAGAATACTGAGCGAAAACAAATCAGGGACTTGACACAGCACATGGCTGATCTTTTCTGAAGTATGAGCATACCTGGTTATCTATCACAGCTGACTTTCCTGAGTATGTTTCTGTAAGTGACAAAGGCTTGATGATACATCCACTTTTACATCTTATTATTTTGAGTCCATCAGTTCATCCCTGCAGTTCACCACTACATGTAAAAGCCCAGACTGTCTCCAGACTTGCTAGTTATACAGTCCCCCTGTTACACTTGGATTACAACTCTGAAGTACCACTTAGGATGGAAGGTAACTTTTTAAGCTGAAGCATGGTTAGTTTCAGCTTTACCACTAGATCTGCTTTTTTTCCTGTCCAGACAGCAGGGACTTCCAGATTAATACAGGTTTTAAAATTGTGCTTTGCATTTCATCCTTGTGAACCAGTCCATCCAGACAATCTTCTTACAGTTAAGCTAGCAATGACAACCATTTTCACACAATTCATGAATCAGGATTCTCCTCTGCAAAGAGTCTGTTATCTAAAATCTATGTCAAAAATAATTAAAGAAAAAAAATCTATACATATTGCTTTCCCACCATACCCAAGCTGATGTGGGTTGTACACGAAGACTGTATCTCCTAGAAAAGCACAGCCAGCATGACTTAGCTGCAACACAGATACATTTTAACCACTGCATTTGGTTCTTACAATTTAAGACTTACCTTATTATGCTCAGCATTCAAATCAGTCAGTCATTCTAGTTAAACCAGAGTAAGGAACACTATCATTAGACTTCTTCAGAAGTATAATGACTTGTGCATTAGTCTTCAGGGAGGAAGATACTCTTTTCCTTTGCTTTGTAAACTTTAGCTGGGGCCCTAGGAAGTCACTACCTCAGCACCATAATGCAGAAGGAAAAGAAGTAAGTTTAAAGAAAAAAAAAAAAGAGGGAAAGGAAGACTAGTCTAAAGAACCCTAGATCAAACAAACACATGCACACTGGCACTGAGTAATCGCTCCAGTTTGAGCATTTGAAGAATGCACCTCTATTACAAAGACTTCTGCTATTTAACTTGGTTTCAACTACATCAGTATGTAAATTCCTTTCTATTTTAGGCCTCTGGAGGTTCATCTTAAGTAATCAATACACACAGCTAGCAACTGATATCTTGCTTTAACTGTCTGTTAATTATCTATCTTATAGTCTTCCATCTTAACAATTTACTTTTCCCACTGATATATGTGAGCAGTGTTCACTGCCACCAGAAATGGCTTCAAGTATCCAAACATGACCATCCAAGGACAAGAACCTTGGCTGTGTTAGGTTTACCTGTCTAGTCTAGAGACAGAGATGAGATCAGTTTCACTGTTTTTTGAGAGAAAATATTACAATGTCTCAGATTTTTTAAAAATAAGTAACTATCAGTAACTGAAGAAATGAAGAGGAAGGAACACACACTGAGCTTAGTTTTGGGTCCTAAGTGTAGGCTGTCATGACACACTGCACTGAGAAGACACATAATTTGCTACAGGAAGATTTTAGGCAGAATCACCATATTGAGATTAGGAAAACAACTCCCTTTTGATAATTTGTCATAATGGAAGGCTTTCAGGGATTGCAGCACCTATAATTACAAATACAGATAGTCTTAGATTATCTTGAAACATCTTTTCAGAATACACTTGAGTCAGTGCATCTGAAACTGCCACTAGCTTCTATATCTCATCCATTTCTAGACAATAAATACATTAAACATTCAGCCCACTATAACCTGCATGAAGGAGATTAATACGATTGCTAACTTGTTCATAAATAGATAAAATAGGGCAGCACATCCTTTTATCTCCAGAATTTCTAGAAGAAAGGCACCTAAGATACTGGCTTATTCTGCAGCCTGTTCCATGTTCAGTATTACAGCTACTCATGCTACGTTTGCTGTTCTGTGGGCAACTAATTCCTGGTCAGAGCAAAGCAGCTTGATTCCCTGGCTGTGACTCACCTTCTGCTACTTGACTATTATTTACAGCCTTGCAGGCTTCAGGTAGAACGGTAGAACAGGCAGGCTTGTTAGTGCACCCAAGAATCTGCAGAAACTTAACTGGGATTGTTCCAGCTGTTCAGAGAATGGGGTGTGAGAAAACAGTATGGGCACTTAACACATGCCTCCACCTTCTGCTCTCAAACTCACTGTCTTTCTTTTCCCTGCTGTTCACAAAACATATTTGCTGCCAGTTAGTGGTGTCACATGATTTCGTGAAGTACTTCTTATCTCTGAGACACTCAGCTATTATTCCACTTGAGGCAAGTCCCAGCATAATTAAGGATTTAAAAAGAGCTCAACCACAGAGCAACCTAACAATACTTCTCACACAGCCTACAAGGGAGGGAGGGAGGGAGGGAGGAGAAACTTCCACTCCATCACCCATCCCAGACAGGCAAGCTAAAGTATGCTAGTAGTGTTGCTATTTCCTAGCAATTCAATTCCTGCAGGCTTTTTAAATGGCTTTGTTCAAAAGGGCTGAAGGTGGTCATCTCACAGATTTTCTACCTATTCACACGAAAAACATATAAGGTAGTACTAACCTACTCACATCAAATAAGGTGGTCAGATCACCGGTTTCAGCAACAAAGGGTGCAGTAGTTTAGCTAATCTTAGTAGGTAAACTTCTACCTACTGAAGGCATGCAATAGCTACGAAGCCAGAGGCTGAGACTTCCAAGTGTGTGCTATTACATGTCAGTGCTATTAAGTGTTAGCACAAATAGTTTTAAATTACTCTGTAAAACCAGCTCAAAAGGCCATCTTGAAAAACGAAACTAGAACCTGAAGTTTCTGTGGCTTTTCATAATCCCCAGCTGTCGCTCTATTGGGAACGGCAAGAAGAACGACACAGACTCTCTTGTGGAGTCGAACTGGAGAATTTCTTTCGGTTTATTACCCCAGGTTTTTTTTATAGACTGATATGTGAAAGTACAGAAAAGAAAACTCTTACTGGTTAGTAAACTAACACATCACCATCATTGGTCAGTGGGGTTCACTACCCCTTGACCTTCTTTTGCAAGAAAACAAGGAACAGACAAACAGCACCTGCAAGGCTGTTTTCTATCTCTGAGGATTGTTTCAATTCCTCCTTATGGTTTCCCAGGCCACTTTCTCAGGCAAGACTGAGAAAGTTATGTGGCCTGCTATTCCACAGGCACTATGCTGCCTGCTTCAGAGTTAGCATCCATACCCAGATGCTCTGAAACACAGATGTAATAACTGAGCAAACAAATGAAATGTATTCTATTTATATCACAGCTACTGTAGTCAGCATACATACTGCACTGCAGGAGGCTCACCTCTGAGGTGACAAAGCTCACCTCTCAGGTGTGCTGCTCCAGAAAATTCTAAGCTTTCTAACTAGTCAGGAATGGGAAGCTCTTTCCACTCCACTGTAAGACAATGAAGTACCATATTTAACTAAATACTCAAAGAGAATGGAGTGCTGTTTTTTAAATCTAGACACATATCATCCAAATATTACCCTTGGAAGACACATGCACAACTGTCCTTAACAGCAGATTCTTGCTTACTACCTACGGGAATAAGATGCGTTGGCTGAGACTCTTCCAGCTTGTTTCTCAACCAGTCGAAGTCTTGGTACCGCCGACGGACAGAATACTCTGGCAAATCAAACTCTGCTCGTGTGGTCTGGAAAAGAACAAGATATACTCAGTGTGTACCAATGCCTGCCACTTCAGAGCTTAGCAGCAAATGGAGTACAGCCATCCCTGGCAAGGGTGAAGACAGACAAGCCTTGCAGGGGGGTCTTCATCCCCAAAATTGTGCAGCCAGCATGAGAGAAAGATCATCTGGCCTTTCAAGCAGTGGAAAAGCAGCAATATGAAAAATTATTGACTGGAGCTGATGTGTTAAGATCTATTTATAGTTCATTACATGTTCTGCTCTCATCATGGTAGAAGTCTGTAGAGCAGAAGCACTGCGCACGGTATCAGTCTCTTGGCAGTTACAAGATTACAAAGACTGCATGAGATACTGCGAGGACAACACCACTTTAACCATAGAGAATTTAAAGTAAAGGTGTTTACTGACCTGTTTATTCTGTGACATGCACTATCCACAGGTGAAAAAGTGTTTCAGCACTGTCCTGTATTCTGTGATTGATGGGCTTATCACACTCCAAGGTCAAAAGATGAGAACACAAGCCAGTGCAAGGTTTGACGGACTATTTTTGTTGACTTCCAAAATGAAGAAACAAGTCTGTTTATGTGTATGCCCGATTAGATGCATTAGTACATTAAATATTTTAAACTTTCCTTCTTTAGGGTAAGGTCATTACAAGTTTGATGGGAAAAAAAGTAAGTATACAGATAAACTGCTGGCAAGTGTTTTATCCAGTCTTTGAACAGTCCATAATCGGGAAGGCTGACTGTATGGGGCTGCTTGCACAGCACATACTGCAACTGCCTAAAACACTTGTGAAACTGTGTACCAACTAGGAGTGTCTGCTGAAGAGCCTGGCATTGTAGCAGCCCTGATTAGAAAGCAGACTGCCTAATTATGTCCCATAGAGAAGCACAGGCAGCTACATTTAAGTTACTTGCAGCATTAGGTCCATCTTGCAATGAATGGCTAGCAGTGCCAGCACACTACATGCAGGCAGCCAGGCATCAAACCCAGCACATTCTAGGGAATACACTGGCAACCCTAGCTTTGAACTGACACTGAGTCCAGCACCTGGTTGCTTTGCTAGTCCCCGCCAGCAGCAGCCTTTAAATGCAATCCACCTCTTCACTTGCTCTCTGGATGACTAACTGTTCCATCTGCTGCATTTAACTCCCACCAGTCAACCACTGGGGATCCTGTAAAAGTTCCAACATATGAAATCTCTTTCTAGGATGAGGTCAGGAACCTTAACACAATATCAACAGCACAGTCTAGGATACTGTAAGCAGCAAGCTGATGTGTTATCACCTATGAAATGGTTTGGCTTCTTGTAAAGGAAGGGAAAGACAGACAGAAAAAGAAATCAGGATCAGCTCCTCCCTTCTTTGACCTGCTAGCCATGGTATGCAATATACAGGCTAGTCCATGGACTAACATAATGAATCCTCATGAATTGGAGCAGTTGTGTTTGCAGATGAGGTACAAGATCTGGGTACCCACCGCAGATCTGTGTTTTACTCAGCTACACACATCTCAGAGTAACACCAGCTTATTTTACATCTAAGAGTGCCACACTATAAATGTGACTTCTTGAGACTTAATTTGAATAATTTTCATTTGTTTCAAGTAACAGACTGAGTGGCATTATTCCAGAAATTAAAAAGAAAAAAAAAAGGTGAGGCAAGGCAGTAAAAACTCTGTAGAAGGCAAAGCATCTGTGAACTGGCAGTGACTGCACAAAGGGATTTTAAGAGATCAGACAGTGAGTGAATGAGAGTAATCAGAATGGTTACACACTACACTGTCTTATCCTGTAGCATGAGAATGCAGGTAAAGTCTCCCATCTGTTAGCACTGAGAAGCTAATTAACAGTTAAGGAAAACTGCATAGGACTGTCTAGGAGTAGGAAAACAGGGTTAAATCCCAGTACACCAACCACACATTAGCTATCATTTACCTCTAGCAAACTGCTCTTGTTGCCTTTACTTGACAAGCAGAATTGCAAAGTTTTCCATATATCACTTTTTTCCCTCTGAGATGAAAATACAGTGGCAACATTTCAGTGTTTACTGTACAGGCTATCAAATCTAGACAGCAAATAAGTTTTTCAAAGACTATTGGGGCAGCAGATAAAGGCCCTTCAAGGTTTTAATGAAACCTCACTAACGCTGAAAGAATTTGGATCTCAGATCAAAATGTTAATCAGTTTAGCACAAGTTACTTTTCCCAGATTGCACATAAGAGGAAGGAGGATCTTGCCACTGTCCAAGCACAGTGTTAAGGAACATGGTCACGGAGGTAGCTCGGGGTGCAGCTGCAGTGGGAGCTGCAGGCTGAGCTCTGGCTGGTGGAGCTCAGGCAAAGAGGCCGTGGAGAGCCGACCCTCGGCACAACAGGGGCCCGGGGACCTGTGGCCCAGCCAGGGGAGCGGATGCTGAGACATGGCAGGAGCCGATGGCCCCAGACCTTCCCCTGCCTAGACTGGTGAGGGGATAAAAGCCCAGGGGTTCCTTTGTTCCAGGTCCCTCCTGAGAGGGACCAGCTCAAGCTGTTGTTTTGTTACTGCACTGTGATGAAATTATTTTAAGGATCAGGAGACTGAGACTCTGCTATAGGAAACCTGGGGATGGAAACCTGGTGTGACTGTGTGAATGAGGGGGCATAGTTGGGAAAGGTCCTTGGTCCCAGCTCAAGTGGTGAAAGAGTGACTGCCTCAGTGGCTCCTGGATGGTTGAACAGGGAAATTTCCATAACAGACAAGTGAAACATTTGTTTGCATTTTTGCGTAGTTAAATTCCTCCTGCTTTCACAGTAGTATTCATAAATCTCATCTTGCAAGGACATGTGTCTCTTCCAAAGGAAGCTGAGAAACTTACATGGCAGATCTCAACCTCCCAAGAAATAATGGGCAAGACGTTTCCAGGAACTTATGAAAATTACTGCACAGTTCCACTAAGTCAGCATTAAAACACTCTGGGCTCAGTTTTACTTGCTGGAAAGCGGGCAGAGTTACAGACACTTTTACCTCAGTTGCTGGAACAGTTTTGACTAGAGGCAGTCTTAAGGCAATCACCAAGGCTTGGACTTGCGTAAGATTCTTGTCTTCCTTGGAAGGAGTTAGCAGCTCAACCTGAAGTTAGGCTGTGATGACTATATGAAAGAATTTTTGTACCCTAGTTCTACTCTTTAACTCACTAGACTTGACTGCAGATTCCCCTCCATGTTATTATTGAAGTTTGAGGCAACATTTTCAATTAGGAAAAGAGGAGAATGACAGAGGGAGAAGGGAAGAAGGCTGCTGTTCTTAGCACTCCAGCACTTCTTTCTGCCTCAACAATTTAGCCTATTTGGAAAAGACTTCATACCACTTTTACCTGCTCCTCCCAGGGAATCAAGAAGTTTCATGTGCTCAAGTAATCTACCCAATGAATGGACTGGAAGCATGAGGAGGACAGGGAAGTGGAACCAAGATCTCCACTTCAGTACTGACTGGTTTGAAAGACTCTCCCTTCAAACCTGCAGAGCAACCGCATGACTCTGAGGAAGGGCACTCAGCTGTTCAGACTTTCATGAGAAAAGGCACAGAAGAAGGCCTTGCCATCCTAGAAAGGACAGTGAAAGTGAAGTTAGAAATACACTAATCTATGTTTTCTCAGGAGAGATGACTACATAACATAAGGCCAAGCTTTACTTTCCCCTTTCTTCCTAAAAAAGAATTCTGCTTAGTAAAATCTCCATAAAATGCACATCCATCCATCTGAAGGACACAAAGACACTTCAATCATCACAATCAAGACCCATTAAGTTTCAGCACAAGTTTTACCCACCTTTATGGTTTCACTAGGCCCCCTGTGTAAGGAAACTGCTTACTAACTTGCACTAGTAACTGCATTTGCAAGATAAACAGAGTTTATGAGAGAATCAAGAGAGTCAGTATTGAATCACTGTCTTGTCAGCTGGAGGATTACCACTACATTCTTTAAATGTGTTCATCCACAAGACAGGCCAGGGAATGCTACCTGGCTCTTACTAGGGAGCTGTGATAACAGGTACACAAGCAGGATCGAGTAAACTCTTGAGTTTTCCTTTGCAAGCCAATGTTTTGATCCTTCCTCAGTTACCACCACCTGCTGACAAAGGCATGAGAAGATGAAAAGCCCAGGGCATATTCCAAGACCTGGGTTTTTTGTTTGTTTTTTTTTTTTAAACCCATACAACACAAGAGACTGCGGTCAGTCTACACTCTTCCCTTGACTAGTATCTTGCCACAGCCACAACCACACATTACAGCATTAGCAACTCCCCTCTTGCCCTAGTGATGCTGCTTTTCAGTCCTCAGAATAACTCATACTACGACCTATGTTCATCCAAACCTTTGAGGTTCCAGAAGCATTCTCCAGTAGAAAAGGAAAAAAAATACAGCCATCCCTGCCTCCTCATTCAGAGGCACCAGAGAGACTCTTGAGAGGTCTCAAACTTCTTTCCTGCAAGGCTGTAAGGGAGGTGTAGAGAAGGCTCCTCATCTCACTCTATGGAATTAATCCTGTGCAGCTCTTCTGCCTCATTTAATTACTGCTTGCAGCTACAACAGCTAATTGGAATTAGCTTGGCATCGAAGACACCCTGTTTGCAGGGCAAGAATGAGTTAGACCATTAATACTGTTAGTCTTGAAAAACGGTAGATAGTCCTAGAGGTTCTGAACCTAGAGACTAACCAAAAGTTTCCAAGAATAATAAAACTAAAGAGATGAATGTTTCATGGTGATTCAGAAGACTAATTTACACAGTTTCATAATCACATTGCAATGGTATAATACAGAAGATTTTTGTGGTACAATGAGATCCAAAATACAACAAGTATTAACGGACAGGAAGGTAGACATCAAAATCAGAAGTATAAAATTACTTTTTTAAATGAAAAAAAGAGACACCATTGGGTAATACTTCTGATCTAAATATGGCAAAGATCTTGGCCATGTTTCAGAGCTCTGCTTTAAAAAGAAAAGGAATCCCTGAACATAAGGACTTCCAAGCATAGGAACATTATTAGGGTGCCACTATATGTAAGTATTTTATATTGATGGAATAATTGAGTCTTAATTCAAGACAGGAACAACATTACCCAATTTTAGCCATTTCCCTGTGGAAAGCTGCATTTTATTTTATAGTTCCTATTCCTTCTGATCAAGTAATAGCTGAAGGCTAAGCTGCTCCAAGTAAAAAAGAATACAGTGTTTCATCCAAGATTAGGACTCTTAGAGTAAAAATGAATGACAGAACTGTGTTAAATGTGCAGAAAAAGACAGTTACTATTTTAGAGAAACTCCATTTTCTCCTGTGCAGTCTGAAAGTGAAACTTTGAAGCAGACATTTGGAAAAAAATTACCTGTGGCCTGTAAAGGTTCCTTATCTCCAAGGAAAATATTTCCTCCAATACCTACTGCTATCTAAGTGGGCTGGAGGAATGTTAATCTTTCTGGACAAGTGTATCAAGTATATTACTAGTAAAGTTAGTGAACGCTTTTTGCCTTAGGTAACTACAAGTGCCCAAACATCACCTAGGAGCTCGTTATAATGAGAATGAATTAGTTAAGAAGAATCAACATTTCAGTTGTGAACGTGGACTTTTCAGATCACTGTTCATATTCATAAATATGTAGATTACATTCATGATTGAACCACAACAGGTGCTGAAAAGATCTCCAACCTCTTGGTTCACAGCAGCATTCTTAGGCTACTTTATTTTATTAGCAGTTGTAGAATTATCTGAACCAGCAACTCCATGAAAGCTGGTTTACAGCTGAGAAACAAGATTATGATTTTAGTGGTAAAATGTAGTAAACACTTCCAGCAATAAGCTTAAAGCATTTCAGAAAGGGGTAGACACAAAAAGTGAGATGATCAACAGTGAGCCAGTAACAAGGCACATTCCCCTTAAGGAAACTCAAACCAAATGAGTGTCAAATTACTTAAATGAACAAACTGTGAAGTTAATGAAAGAAACTGGCCTTGCAAGTTTACAAACAGTTCTATTTAGGAATCTGAGATAAAAAAAAATATAAATCTAAGTCGACATGTTAAAAGCTTTTTCCACAATTTCAGACACTGAAGTAACAATCCTGCTAGAAGAAGTCACATCTTCAGCACACTCACAAGGTACCAAAATACACTAAATTCTTGTCCTTAAGATAGGAAAACACAGAGCAAGATGTGAATATCCAGAACATGACCCAAAGTTATTCCACAAATAAGGAAGCACTAGGAAAGACAATATTGCTTTGTACCTTTGTTGTAACCCTGTATGTGATATATGTCTCCATTGTGCACACGTGTTTTTTGGGATCATCCACAGTAACAAAGAGGTCTCTAGTTTCCACATCCAAGTCATCATCCAGCTGCAGTCTGTTGAGGAGAGATGAGGAGGAGGCTGGGCTAGAAGTGTCCACGGGTGTGCCATTGGGCAGACTGAGATCCTGTATTGGGGAGGAAGAAGAAAAAAATGAGGTTTTTAAGAAGCTTAACAGATTCAAGGTAAAACACACTATTTTCAAAGACACCACAGACAAGCTTCTCTGATATATTACAAGGGTTACTTGTTTCAGGACCTCCAAGGATCAACCTTCTCCAGGAAACCTGGGCAGCACCCTAAAGTTGAAGCATTAAGCTGAGGAGAACACATTACCACTGTATCTCCCCTAAGGACAGCACCACCTGCTTTCTATTCATAAGGAAGTACAGTGTTGCTGAAACAGCAGTTCCTGGTGAGATTGAGTTAACCTGGACTGAAAACAAAACAGCTAGGCATATCAAGAGATCTACATTTAAGACAGGTTTCAGGCGAAGTGACAACAGTTCAGTTGTCTGGAATGCAGTCAGCTTTCACCTCTGGAGATTCTTGCAGCAGAGGAAGGAGCATAACTTTCATCAGAGGCCTCCCATCCAGTCCATTAACTTCCACACAAGTTGGCAGCATTTAGACTCTGAATTGCCTTCACTGCACTACAGAACAATCACAGATCACACTCCCCTGCTCAAGTGTCTAGGCACACCTCCCTGTTGGAGTCTTAAAGCAAATGAAAACACTACTTTTTCCTTAGAGGTCTTCATTCCCATTCTGCCAAGCTTAAGAGTGTCATCCAGTGCTTAGAGAAGACAGAGACGAAAAGATCCAGCAAGTGTCCATTTAGGAAGAAAAACACAAAAGTTTAGGAAGTCTGCAATTCCTTGAAACTGACTTGGCAACAGAGGAAAAAAGAAAAACAACAAAACAACTCTATAGCCAACCTGGGACATCCACACACCTTCAAATCTCACACTTCAATACAAACCAACTACTCTGTAACAGTACTTACTGCACTTGCATAAATATCACAGCAAGTTGACATGTTTTCTGATCTGGTTTTGTAGCAGAGGGAGCCGACAACGTGTGACAAGTTGTACATAGAAATTCCTAAGGACTCATGGCTCTTCATTTAAGAGAAGACAGGAGCTGTTTTTGTTTGCATCTTTTTAATAGTAGCATAGGGACAGATTTATCCAGAGTGATTTCCCTTGCTGTTGAACAGAGAAACATCACTACAGCTAAGCACCACATGAACTTAAACAAGTATTTTAGTTATACAATTACTTCTTAGATCCAACTTCACACAACTCTAAGTGGCTACCATCACACCATCAAAACATACCATCTTAGCAAAGCAATCGTGTGGGTGAGACCCCCTCTGTTCATCAGTGCTCCTTTAGCCAAAGGTAGAGAACCACAGGCAGGAGCTTCAAGGTAAAGTTACTTACAAAGGTCAGCCTTTGATAATGGCTAAAAATGCAGCTAAATTCCTAGCAATCATTCTCACAAACCCATCATGGGTGTACTGGGATTTCATAGAGAGCCATCTGTCTGTTGCAGTACTGCAGAACCATGGCAGCATTGTTCTTCACCTTGAGGGCTGTCTTATGATGTAGAGAAAATAACTGTTTAGCCTAAACATTTTGGGAAAGGGGTGATCTAAACTACTGTCTACTAACGGAGATACATTCTCTCAGCTAATGTACAGAAGAGGCTGCCAACAAATAGATTTAACTGGCAGGTGAGCAAGATGGGACAGCAGGCACTCAAATGCTTTCATGAGGGCAAAAAAGCAGGGGGAGCAAGACACAGCTCAGACAAAAGACACCTCAAACTACATAAGCATCTGGCTTGGACTCAGATAGGAGGAACACATACAACACGAGTAAGCAATGGCACAATTACTCATTAGATAAGAAGTTCTGTTGAAATTACACAAACAGAATAAGCAGTAGACAGGATAAGGTTAACAACAGGAGATGGCTTCAGAAAATCTGCAGTTCTGCTAGACAACAGAACTTGGCTGAGCAGAGTAAAAAACAAAGCAAACCTTGGGATACCACAGTAGCTGGAGACAAATCTGCTTCTGTGTCCAAAGGAAAAGACAGCTCATCACTGTCCATGTGCAATAAGCATTAACACACAAGTTGTGCCACAACTGCAGCCAGACATGTTCTAAACTTCCAGTATGACAATTACTTTGCAGAAACAGCTTAAGCCTGATTCCACAGGAGATCTCAAAGGCTGTTAAGAAAACTCTTCCAAAAGAGAGTTTAAAGAATATGATGGAATCTGTTTAAAATATGAGAATCTAGAGAAAGAACAAAAGACAGAGCTTGCAGCCAGTTGCACAAAGTTAGCACTTTCCTCACCAATTCTCTTGGGAAGTAACAGTATCATACGAGTATGTCTTGCATATTTTAAGCAGGAGAGAAGTCTGTGAAGTCTGTGAATCTGTTTCACTGCACTTGAGAGTGTTCTTGCAGTTGTGGGTCCTGTGGAATGTCTTGGATGTTAAAGGCTATGATAGTTCTATCCTGGATGAAACACTCCAGACCTACATCAGGTAAAGCTTCTGTACCAGCACTGGTTCACGTCAGGAGAGCTGCTAGCTGTGGTGGTGGGAAAAGGAGAGATGATCTGTTACTGTGCTATACTGCCTCATCTGGAGGATCCTCCCCTGGCAGAGACAGCTGGCATCATACCCTGCTACTTGGCTATTTTTCAGTAGATGAAAGCTGAGTTAGAAGCTATTTCTCCTCCTGAATGGGTGGAACCTCCTAGCTCAGTGCACTAGAAATAAGGCATATGGCTGCTGAACCCTCATTTAACAGTATGCAGGATCAGTTTGCTGAGGTCTTATGCCATTGCTAGAAAGAGGCAGACTTTGAAGTATGACAGCAAAACACCTCAGATTGTAATTCTACCAGCATACCAGCAGAACACCTCCCTCTTGTGTTAATTGCCTCACCTCTCTTCCAAGGGACTTGAGGGATTTTTTTTTATTTTTTTTTTTTTTTTTTTTTATTTTTTTCTCCTCAGGAAACAAGACTCTGCATCCTCTAGTCTTCTTTTACCACAGAAAGAGGAGTATGTCCTGCAGAGCCTAGTGGGAAAGCAGGTATGTAGCTATCTGTTTTTCTACCTTCTGGTATAACTGTCATACCCACAAACATCTGAAATACTAGCTAGTATTATCCACTTTATATAAGCAAGCTGGTGAACTGTGCCTGACTTCAGTGCCAGGGGCTCATGCACCAATTTCACCTTTAAGTGCACCAAGTAGCTGCCCATCCCTGTTTTAAGTACCTCTCTGCATTATTAGAGACGAGCAGAGTCCAAGTCACAGCAGGTACCTACTGCTTACAAATCCTTTCATTAAAATACCTGTCATTCACAGTAGCCAGTCTGCCATAAAGATGAGCAGTCCTACAGCAGAGAGAAGGGGAAGTTGCTTCTGGTTACCCAGGCAAGGTGGTGTGAAGGACATGTTTTGTCAAGACATTCTTTGCTTCTTAACAAGCATCCATAAATATTTTCTTAAGGTTCAAAGCTTTTTCTAAAGTGAAGAGTAAAGATCCTTAGTCTCTGCCACCCACTGCCTCAAGACAGTCTCACGGTTTTGCCATCTGTTGAAGTAGGTCAGGTGAAGGTGTAGCAAGGCCTGGATCACAACCTACAGTAGATGCAGTATGACATTCAGGTTCATGAGTTGTATATATATACATATGTTTGTGTGTGTGTGTGTGTGTGTGTGTGTGTGTGTGTGTGTGTGTTTTAAAACAACCACAAGGGCAGGGTCTTCATGCATTCCTATGAAGTTCCTAGAATTCCTCAAGACACCTGAATTTATGGGTACAGAAGTCAGACGATTTTAGAAGCACATGTTTTGTATCCTACAGCGCCAGGCAAGTAAGAACTGTCTGTGTTGGAAATGCACCCTGACAACCATGCAGGCTGCTATCTGGTAAGGCTGTTTCACATTACTTTGCTAACTCCTGCTTTCCAAACAGTTTGATTAGTCAGCCTGCCCAGAAACACATATTAAATCTATCAAGAAGTTCACTTCACCCAAACATAAAATTCAACTGAATTCTTTAAACTAGAAGTCTGCATATGAGATTCAAAATTAGTTGGGGAGTTTCCAACTGCTGTCATCTTCTCCCAGGCATTTTCCACAACTCATTTTACAGAGCAGTTTGGATCAACATAGAGTACAATCTTCAGGAGCTTGGTATTCAGTTGCTGGATGGCAACCTCCCCCCATGGAGAAGTAAGCCAGTGTCCAGGACTCAGCCCCTGAGGGTCTAAACTTCTTTAGGTATTGCTTTATTGTGAAGACCATGGAGTCTTCTGCTGAGTTACAGGCAGCTAGTTAAGACTAGTTTCCAGAAACTAAATGCTAGTTTTCACCTATCCTGCCTGAGCAAGTGTACAGCTTAACCAGACAGCTTTGCACTCAAAGCAGCAATCCATGAGAAGGCATGTCAGGCAAGTCTTCCAAGCATGCATAAACTTATGGATGCTGAAAGCAGGCAAGGAGCACAGTGCCTGTGCAAAACTAAGTCTCACTCTGGCCTGGGAAATCATAAAGAGGAATCCAAACAGCCCTTGGAGAAGGAAAACAACCTTTGCAGGTGTTGTTTAGATCCCTGTTGTTTACTTGCAAGAAACAGTCAGGGGGTGGCATTCCAATTGTCCAGTGATGGTGATGTGTTAGTTTAATGACCAAGGAGAGTTTTACCTCATGGACCTTCTCAGACCTGTCTATAAATGAAGATCTGAAATAATAAAACTTGCTCTTCTGGGCAACCCAGCTAAGAGAGTCTGTGTTGTACTTTGCCATTCCTAATACAGTGCGACATAAACTCACCGCTGGAAAGGGTAACCCTGAACCACTGTGATGCCATGTGCCCACTGTTACCATTCAAAAAGTATTGCATGACAGTAAGAAACATTTTAAAATGTTGCTGTTTAGAGGCAGGAGCCTAAATACCCCTGCCTGATTTAGGGACTTGAGAGCCAGGCCTATACTGCTCCTAGAACCTCATTGCTTCACTTCCAAAATTCAGAGTGCTGTTTTCTTCTCCGATTTCAAGGTGTTCCATTGCTTTTTGCTATTCATTTCAC